AAAGTGTGGCATAGGCTCATCGCACAATATTCTTTATGTGGTCCTCAGGTGATAGTTTTCTATCTAGAACCACCCCTAGATCTCTTTCTTTATCAGAATTCATTAAAGATTTCTCACATAATATATAGGTTGTGTGGAGTCTATGTTCTCCTATTCCACATTCCATAACATGGCATTTATTAACATTAAATTCCATTTGCCAAGTGGTGCTCCATATACTTATTTTGTCCAGGTCATCTTGAAGGGCATGACAATCATCTAAGTTTCTTATCCTTCCTATTATCTTAGCATCATCAGCAAACATGTTCATATAATTCTGTATACCAACTGGTAGATCATTTATGTAGACAATAAACATCACTGGTGCAAGAACTGAACCCTGTGGTACTCCACTTGTGACATTTCTCCAGTCCGATACATTGCCTCTGATCACTGCCCTCATTTTTCTATCAGTCAGAAAATTTTTCATCCATGTTAGAAGCTTACCTGTCACCCCTCCAATATTTTCCAGTTTCCAGAACAACCTCTTATGTGGAACTCTGTCAAAAGCCTTTTTTAGGTCCAGATAGATGCAGTCAACCCAACCATCTCTTTCCTGTAATATCTCTGTTGCTCGATCATAGAAACTGAGTAAATTCGATACACAGGATCTTCCAGATCGAAAACCATACTGTCTGTCTGATATTATATCATTTCTCTCCAGGTGTTCTACCCATTTAGTTTTAATTATTTTTTCCAATATTTTGACTATTACACTTGTCAATGATACAGGTCTATAATTAAGGGGGTCTTCCCTGCTTCCACTTTTGTAGATTGGAACTATGTTAGCCTTTTTCCACACATCAGCTACAACTCCTGTAAACAGGGATGCCTGAAAAATCAGTTGAAGAGGAATGCTGAGCTCAGGTGCACATTCTCTCAGAACCCATGGTGAAACTCCATCTGGACCAACTGCCTTGTTCTTATTTAGCTCCTTGAGCATTTTTTCCACTTCGTCTCTAGACACCTCTATGTGCTCTATGTTGTTCTCTGGAATTCTTATTGTATCTGGTTCCCTGAAGATTTCATTTTGTACAAACACACTTTGGAACTTTTCGTTTAATGTTTCACACATTTCCTTTTCATTTTCCGTGAATCTATTTCCCATTTTCAACCTCTGTATATCATCCTTTACCTGCAATTTGTTGTTTATGAATTTATAGAATAGACCTGGTTCTGTTTTACATTTGTCTGCAATCCCTTTTTCAAAATTTCTTTCTGCCTCTCTCCTCACTGCCGTGTAGTTGTTTCTCGCATCTTTGTATCGCTGGTATGTTTGGGGGTTTGGCCTCTTCCTGTATTGATTCCATTTTTGTGTCTTTTGGTCTCTGGCCCTCTCGCACTTTCTGTTGAACCAATCCTGTTTCCTAGTTCTGCTTCTCTGTTTTGGTATAAATTTTTTTGTGCCTTTATCATATATTTCACAAAACTTGACATACATCTCATTCACTTCCTTGCCTAGCAACAAGTCTGTCCAATTATACCCACTAAAAAAAATTCTAAGGTTGCCATAATGTCCTCTCCTAAAGTCAGGTTTTTCAATTGCATCAACCTTCATATTTTCTTCCAGATTATAACGCATTGCATACTTTATTCCCAAAAAGACATGGTCACTTTTACCCAAGGGAGGAAGGTACTGAATGTCAAATATTTCTTCCTCCTTCCTGGTAAATATCAAATCTAGCATGGAGGGAACGTCCCCTTCCCTCATCCTCGTAGCTTGTTTAACATGTTGATACAAGAATGTTTCCAGGATGAGGTCTACAAATTTACAGGTCCAGAAATCTTCTGTTTTAGCTTCATATGCTTCCCAGTCTATGGCTTTCAAGTTGAAGTCGCCGACTATCAACAGTCGTGAACTATCGTTATCCGCTCTCGCTATGATCTCTCTCATTATTGTTATAAGACCTTCTCTTTTACTATCTAGCTCCTCCTTTGACCATGTGCTGCTTAGCGGTGGACTATATGCATTTATGATCATTAGTTTATCATCCTCATGGCAGATCTCTAGTGCTATTATGTCAACTTCTTGTGGATTGGCAGTCATTATTTCGTTCACCTTTAGGTGTTCTTTCACCAGCACAGCAACGCCACCGCCTTTCCTAATTTTTCTGTCCCGTCTCCAAATTGAGTAGCCCCTTGGGAATATGACTTCATTTAAAATAACATCTTCAAGTTTTGTCTCCGTGAGTGCAACAATGTCTGGTGTCTGCAGCTGTATTACATCACTTAACTCCAGTATCTTCGATCTTACTCCATCTATGTTGGTGTATGCAATCTTCAGGAACTTGTTCCCCCTCTTCTTATTTTTCACTCCCCCTCTCTCTAATGATTTTGTTGGTTTGCCTTTATGTACCACTTTACTGGTCTGCCTACCCCTATCACTTTGTAGAAAAAAGAATTGATTTCTTCTTCATTCCTGCTCTCATTTAAACGTTTTGCCTCGGCGAGGTTCAGTTTCAGCTTCTCTCTATCTTCTTTTGAAAGATCTCGTCTTAACGACCACACTTTCCCATCCTCATCACTTTGTAATTTTCTAGCATTCCTTAGTACTTCTTCCATCTGTTTGGCACCATTTAGGGTGATCCTCAAAGGTCGATCTTTCCCTTTTACATATCTGCCTATTCTCCTGTAGTCGCACACATTCTCTATGGTTGTAAGACCTTCCACGAGGCCAACAATTTTATCTACTACTTTTGCTTCTTCTACAGCTCTTTCTGACCTAGATGTTATCTCCTTTTCTTTGCAGCCAAAAATGATCAGGGACTTACTCCGATCAACTGTGTTTTGCACCAACTTCGGGTTAGATGCCAATTCTTTTCTCACTTCCAGCCTAATGTTTGTTTTATCTTGGTTGCTGCAGTGTTTGACTTCCTTTACTGCTTCTTCTATTTTTTCCTTCTCCTTGGCCACTTGTGCATAAGTGAGTTGCATATCTTTCTTGCACTGTTCTATTCCCTGTGTAACTTCCTCCATCTGTGCTGACAAAAGCTGTTTCTCCTGTTGAAATTCCTTACCTAACCTATTGTAGTCATTTATGTTTAAATTTACTTTAACTTCTTCCAAAGCTATTTTTAAGAGTCTATTTTCTTCTTCCATGGCTTTGCAATTTGTTTCCAATTGAATCTTATCCGTGCACAAGTCTTTCACTACTCCCTCAAGACATACAACTTTGCTATTTAAATGGTCATTACTTTCTTTCAATTTACTAATTATTTCTACATGAGAGGTCACTATAGTATCTAATTTTACCAACTTGTTGTATAGACTGGTTATATCAATGCTTTCTTCACTGAATCCAACAAATTCAAACTCTGTTTTGTATTTCCTCTTGTCGGCGGCCATCTTGAATGTTGTTCTCCACACTGGAAACACTAGGGGCAACTTTTTCTCATCCAATTTTTCACTTCCCTTGGCATATTCCTGTTATCTCACCTATTTTTCAAAAGCACTATACCTTTATGTACTCTGGGACACCACTCACTATCATCATCCTGTACTACAATACTTAGGATTGTTGAAATATGCTGGAGCTCCTCTTGTCTGCCTCTTGGGAAAGAACTTGGGATTGGTGTGTGTGTTTATGTGTGTGTGTGTGTACTCACCTATTTGTACTCACCTATTTGTGCTTGCGGGGGTTGAGGTTTGGCTCTTTGGTCCCGCCTCTCAACTGTCAATCAACTGGTGTACAGATTCCTGAGCCTACTGGGCTCTATCATATCTACATTTAAAACTGTGTATGGAGTCAGCCTCCACCACATCACTGCCTAATGCATTCCATCCGTTAACTACTATGGCACTGAAAAAGTTCCTTCTAACGTCTCTGTGGCTCATGTGGGTACTCAGTTTCCACCTGTGTCCCCTTGTTCGCGTCCCACCAGTGTTGAATAGTTTATCCTTGTTTACCCCGTCGATTCCTCTGAGGATTTTGTAGGTTGTGATCATGTCTCCCCTTACTCTTCTGTCTTCCAGTATCGTAAGGTGCATTTCCCGCAACCTTTCCTCGTAACTCATGCCTCTTAGTTCTGGGACTAGTCTAGTGGCATACCTTTGGACTTTTTCCACTACTCCCACTGTGTGTGTGTGTGTGTGTGCGTGTGTGCGTGTGTGTGTGTGTGTGTGTGTGTGTGTGTGTGTGTGTGTGTGTGTGTGTGTGTGTGATGTGTGTGTGTGTGTGTGTGTGTGTGTACTTACCTAATTGTGCTTGTGGGGGTTGAGCTCTGGCTCTTTGGTCCCACACACACTGTGAGTGTGTGTGTGTGTGTGTGTGTGTGTGTGTGTGTGTGTGTGTGTGTGTGTGTGTACTCATCTAGTTGTGTCTGCAGGATCGAGCATTGACTCTTGGATAGTGTGTGTGTGTGTGTGTGTGTGTGTGTGTGTGTGTGTGTGTGTATGTGTGTGTGTGTGTATGTGCGTGTGCGTGTGTGTGTGTGTGTTAAATCATGCAACGAAAAAAAGAGTTAGATCCATTATTCAAGCACGAATCTTATCTATATTTTTTATGTTCATCGCTTGGTGCCGATCTAGAGTTCTTCGTGAGGAAGTTGGCAGTCTTCTGTCTCTTGTAGTAGACTGTCAACGCTATCTTCTGGTTGGTGTTGATAAGGGTCACGTTTCTATCAATACTTTCTTTCAGGACTCTTCCCTTCATTCATTACTTACTTTCCTCCCCTTTGGAAGAGTTGAAAGAACTCCCTGTAGATTAGTTTGATATATGGGATACATACTGCAATGTTGGCCGTTGTATCAGAGGTAGCATAAGTGCTGGATCAGCCGGGTTGTAGTGGATGTGTGGGCGTCCATGCTGCTGCATGCAAGAGCCTGATGGATTAAGGTATTTCCGAACAAGGGCTTGGGTTGGAGACAACTTTTTAAACCGACTGTATGTAAGTAGGTAGGTAATCGACTACAGGTAAACAGGTAAATAAAATCGTGTTTTGCAGTCGTGTAATTTTATTTACATAAATAATTGACTACTATATTTGAAGGCCTTCTGATAGCTGTTTGTTTTCCATTTGTAATGACAAAGCAATAGAGTTGCAGGTGGGACAGTTGGTGCCACCTGGGACGCTGCCAGCTGGCTTAAGGCAGCTTGGAATAAGCTGGAATAATTCAAGTGCAGGCTGGGATATTCCCAAGCAAAGTGGAAACAAGTAGTAATCAGTGAGCAGAGGAGTGTTGAAGGAAGATGTGTGACTAGAGGTGATTGATTGATGAAGATTAAGTCACCCAAGAGGTGCCACTGGCATGAATAACCTATGTGAATAAAAATGGTATTGTTGCATGTTATATATCAGATCTGGGGCTTAGGCGTAGGGGTGTGGTGTTGGTTTTGGGCCATAGGTTGGAGGCGGGGGACCGTAGGAAGGGGGTGATGGTCCATAGGATGGGGGTGAAGGTCCGTAGGATGGAGATGGATAGGTGGCTTCTCCCTGGTAGGTGACGTCAGCAACGTAGCCATTGTCGTCAGCATGGAAGGTGACGATCTGAGTGCGTCCGTCGGGGAGAAGCACCCTGTAGGAGCCGGATGTGAGTTTACCGTCGCTCTTCTCGTCGTGCGCGAAGTCGTTACCGGAGTAGTCATCCCTAACGGCGTAGGCGAAGTCGAAAGGCATGCCGGGCTCGTTGTAGGATGGGGTTGGCCCATAGCGTGGTGGAGCTGGCCCATAGCGTGGTGGAGCTGGGGGCCCGTATGGTGGGGGAGTAGGGGGCCTGTAATGTGGTGGTGTAGGAGGCCCGTAGGGTGGTGGTGTAGGAGGCCCATAGGGTGGTGGTGTAGGGAGCCCGTATGGTGGTGGGGGCTCAGCACACACCACAGCCACTATGGCTGCCGCTACGAAGACCTGTTCCACATGAGAGATGAGTTAGTGTTCAACATTCTAATGTACTCAATACACATGAATATATAGTAGTTTTGTCAATTTCCATCATAATTTATTGATAAGTAAGGGGTCCATCAAAGAAGAATAGTGTTCCACTGGAGTCCCCGTTGCACCAAAGTAGAATAGGCAGTGAAAAAATCTTAAGTTAAAGGAAAGAAAATTGTCTTTAAAGCTCAAATCTGTGAATAGAACCAGTTTTTTTGTTAAATACCTGAATTCTTGCACGTAAGATTAACGGCAGTTTGTTATGCTCTTATTATACATTATGGTTGATCATATTGAACGAATGGATGATGACTTTAGGGAAGAGAGTGTTCATATGCAATTGAGGGTTGGTGAAGAGTTAGTTCAGACAAGAGACATTATGAGTGTGAGGCAGTCTGAACTGAGTGTATCAGCTGGGATTGAGTGCGAGCAGCTCAAGAGAAATAGTGTGAAATTAATTTAAGTGCCAGTGATTGACATGTTTTAGGTGGGAAATTACGGAATGTTTGTGTTGCTGGTGTTGGTTGTGTCGTGTGGTGGCCCGTCCTTCTAAAACTGTAGTACTTTTACCAACTATTTCCTGAAACGTACAAAAAATGGGCTGTTGGACTACCAAAAAGTTCCCGTTTTGTATTACTGAATTAGCCCAAATAGTATATTAATAGAATTGAAAAGTAACAAAAATAACCTAGCCTTTTTATAGGCGTAAATAAAAAAAATCCTAGGCCTAATATATGCTATCTTAGGCATAATATAGAGTATGTAAAGTATGAACAGTATTTAGAGTATGTATAGTATGAATACAGAGTACAAATTGTGAACATTGTTGGTTGCAACAGCTCATTTTTTTTTGTTCGTAAATAATAGTTGCTATAAGTGCTATAATGTTAGGAGGATTTGTTGTGTGATGTTGCAGATCTGTGGTATTGATGTGGTGTGGCAGAGCTATGGTAATGGTGTGGTGTGGCAGAGCTGTGGTAATGGTGTGGTGTGGTGTGGCAGAGCTGTGGTAGTGGTGAACGTGGAGAACGGTGCTTGGAGTGTAGGAGTTTACAAACAAGGATCTTCTCCATTGTTATAATACGTACAAGTGAAAGGTGAGTAAAAGATGACGCCGGCTTAAGCTACGGACAAATGAGGAAGCAGGCGAAGAACAGCCTAGTAAGGCATTTTTGTGTGTTCAGTTTAAGGACTAACTACCTTAAACCTTTTTAGTATTTATTTATTTATTAAAACGTCCACGATAAATTACTGACAAGTACACTTAATTCTCATTATATTCGAGATCAATTAAGCTCACTGAGTACATATACACAATGATGCGGAAAAAAAACTCAGAGTAAATATGTAGGGAACACTCACATTAGCTGACATGTTGCTTCTTGTGGCGCTGGTCGAGCAATGGTGCCTGACTCTGGATGGCGCCGCCTTTTATACTCTCGTCCAAGCTGACCTTCGTGACGTCAACAATAAATAATGACAAGTCCCACCTTCATACAATCCATTATGAACACTGGCAACGCTGTACACCTCAGCATCAACACTTGTAATGCTGTACATCTCAGTATTAACACTGGCAATGCTATACACTTCAGTATAATACTGGCAACACTGTACACTTTAGTATAACACTGGCAACACCGTACACCTCAGTATTAAGAGTGGCAAAGATATAAATATCTGTATTAACACTACACCTCAGTATTAACACTGAAAATGCTGGACACTTCAGTATTAACACTAACAACGCTGCAGACCTCTGTACTAACACTGGCACCAGTGTATATCTCAATATTAACACTGAACACCTAAATAGTAACACTGGCAACATTGTACATCCCAGTATTAACACTGGCAACATTGTACACCTCAGTATAAACACGGTACACCTCATTAAAACACTCTGTCAGCACTGTACACCTCAGTATATCACTCCAGCAGCATTGTACACCTCAGTATTAACACTTCAGCAAAACTGTATACCTTAGTATTAACACTTCAGCAAAACTGTATACCTTAGTATTAACACTGGCAGCACTGTACACCTCAGCATTAACACTTCTTCAGCATTATACACCTCAGAATTAACACTAGCAGTACTGTACACCTCAGTATTAACACTGGCAACACTGTACACCTCAGTATTAAAACTGACAGCACTGTACACCTCAGTATTAAAACTAGAAGTACTGTACACCTCAGTATTAACACTGGCAGCACTGTACACTTCAGTATTAACACTGGCAGCACTGTACACATCAGTATAATACTCTGGAAGCAATGTACACCTCAGTATTAACACTGGCAGTACTGTACATTTCATTATAACACTCCTGCGGTACTGTACACCTCAGTATAACACTGGCAGCGCTCTACACCTCATTATTAACACTCCAGCAGCATTGTACTCCTCACTATTAACACTCTGGCAGCACTCTACACATCTGTATAACACTCCGGCAGCACTGTACACCATAGTATAATACTGGCAGTACTGTACAGCTCAATATAACACTCCGACAGAACTGTATTAACACTGTACACCTCAGTATAACACTCCGACAATACTGTACTCCTATGTATTAACACTCCGGCAGCACTGTTCACCTCAGTATGACACTGGCAGCACCGTACACCTCAGTATTAACACTCCAACAGTACTATACACCTCAGTGTAACACTCCGGCCTTGCTGAACACCTCAGCAGCACTCTACAACTCAGTATAACAATTGCAGTACTGCACACCTCAGTATAACACTCCGGCAGCACTGTACACTTCTGTATTAACACTGTACACCTCAGTATAACGCTCCGGCAACACTATACATCTCAGTATTAACACTCCGGCAACACTGTACATTTCAGCATAACACTCCTGCAGCACTCTACAACTTAGTATAACATTGGCAGTACTGTACACCTCAGCATAACACTCTGGTAGCACTGTATCATGGCGCTGTTGGTCAGCATATGTCTAGTGATCGGGCTTTGTAGAAATTATATGTTCTTTGATGAAACCCTGTTGTTTGTGCATTGTCAAGTGTCTTGACAGATACTTTATTGTCTTGCCGATATAAGATCATTGGGACTGACAGTCACTAAGTGTCCATGTAAAATGCATTAACCATAATGGTCTCTTTCAAGGCATTTCGCTTGGTGCCGATCTAGATTTCTTCCTGGGCAAGTTGGCAGTCTTCTGTTTCTTGTTGCAGACTGTCAACGCTATCTTCTGGTTGGTGTTCATAACGGTCACGTGTCTATCAATACCATCTTTCAGGACTCTTCCCTTCGTTCATTACTTACTTTCCTCCGCTTTGGAAGAGTTGAAAAGAACTCCCTGTAGAATAGTTTGATGTAAGGGATACATACTGCAATGTTGGCCGTTGTATCAGAGGTAGCATAAGTGCCGGATCAGCCGGGTTGTAGCAGATGTGTGGGCGTGCATGCTACTGCAAGCAAGAACCTGATGGATTAAGATATTTGCCGAACAAGGCCTTGGGTTGGAGATAACTTTTTAAGCCGACTATAGGTAAGTAGGGAGGTAATGGACTACAGGTAAACAGGTAAATTAAATCGTGTTTTGCAGTCTTGTAATTTTATTTAGAAAAATAATTGACTACTGTATTTGAAGGCCTTGTAGTAGCTGCTTGTTTTCCATTTGTAATGGCAAAGCAATAGAGTTGCATGTAGGACAGTTACGGGCTCACCATAGCCCGTGCCACTTAGAACTTTGTTCCAGGTAACGAATCTTTAACAACAACAACAACCTGGGACGCTGCCAGCTGTCTTAAGACAGCTTGGAATAAGCTGGAATAATTCAAGTGCAGGCTGGGATATTCCCAAGCAAAGTGGAAACAAATAGTAATCAGTGAGCAGGGGAGTGTTGAAGGAAGATGTGTGACTAGAGGTGATTGATGAAAATTAAGCCACCCAAGAGGTGGCACTGGCATGAATAGTCCGTGTGAATAGAGATGGCATTGTCGCAAGTTATATATCAGATCTGGGGCTTAGGCGTAATGGCGTGGTGTTGGTTTTGGGCCATAGGTTGGAGGTGGGGGACCGTAGGAAGGGGGTGATGGTCCATAGGATGGGGGTGAAGGTCCGTAGGATGGAGATGGATAGGTGGCTTCTCCCTGGTAGGTGACGTCAGCGACGTAGCCGTTGTCGTCAGCATGGAAGGTGACGATCTGAGTGCGTCCGTCAGGGAGAAGCACCCTGTAGGAGCCGGATGTGAGTTTACCGTCGCTCTTCTCGTCGTGCGCGAAGTCGTTACCGGAGTAGTCATCCCTAACGGCGTAGGCGAAGTCGAAGGGCATGCCGGGCTCGTTGTAGGATGGGGTTGGGCCATAGCGTGGTGGAGCTGGGGGCCCGTATGGTGGGGGTGTAGGGAGCCTGTAGGGTGGTGGTGTAGGTGGCCCGTAGGGTGGTGGTGTAGGGAGCCCGTATGGTGGTGGGGGCTCAGCACAAACCACAGCCACTATGGCTGCCGCTACGAAGACCTGTTCCACAAGAGAGATGAGTTAGTGTTCGATATTCTTATGTATTCAATACACATGAAAATGCAGTAATTTTGTCAATTTACATCATGATTTAATGCTAAGTAAGGGTTCATCAAAGAAGTATAATGTTTCTTTAGAGTCCCAGTTGCACCAAAGTAGAATAGGCAGTGAAAAAATATTAAGTTAATGGAGAGAAAATTGCCTTTAAAGCTCAAATCTGTGAATAGAAGCATTTGTTTTAAATGCCTGAATTCTTGCACGTATGATTAACAAGGGTGTTTTATACTCTTGTTATAAATTATGGTTGGTCATATTGAACGAATGGATGAGGATGATTTTAGGGAAGAGGATGTTCAAGTGCAATTGAGGGTTGGTGAAGAGTTAGTTCAGACAAGAGACATTATGAGTGTGAGGCAGTCTGAACTGAGTGTATCAGCTGGGATTGAGTGTATCAGCTGGGAGTGAGTGCGAGCAGCTCAAGAGAAATAGTGTGACATTAATTTAAGTGCCAGTGATTGACATGTTTTAGGTGGGAAATTACGGAATGTTTGTGTTGCTGGTGTTAGTTGTGTCGTGTGGTGGCCTGTCCTTCTAAAACTGTAGTACTTTTACCAACTATTTCCTGAAACGTACAAAAAATGGGCTGTTGGACTACCAAAAAGTTCACGTTTTATATTTCTGAATTAGCCCAAAAGGTATATTAGTAAAATTGAAAATATAAAAAATAACCTATCCTTTTTATAGGCGTAACTAAAAAAAAATCTAGGCCTAATATATGCTATCTTAGGCATAATATAGAGTATGAACAGTATTTAGAGTATGTATAGTATGAATGCAGAGTACAAAGTGTGAATATTGTTGGTTGCAACAGCTCATTTTTTAATGTTCGATCAAATAGTTGCTATAATGTTAGGAGGATTTGTTGTGTGGTGTTGCAGAGCTGTGGTAGTGGTGTGGCAGAGCTGTTGTAGTGATGTGGTGTGGCAGAGATGTGGTAGTTGTGTGGCAGAGCTGTTGTAGTTGTGCAGTGTGGCAGAGCTCTTGTAGTGGTGTGGCAGAGCTGTAATAGTTGTGTTGTGTGGTAGAGCTGTGGTACTGGTGTGGCAGATATGTGGTAGTTGTGTAGTGTAGCAGAGCTGTGGTAATGGTAGGGCAAGGATGTAGTAGTTGTGTGGAGTGGCAGGGCTGTGGTAGTTGTGTGGTGGGGCAGAACTGTAATAGTACTAGTTGTGTGGCTGAGCTGTGATAGTGGTAGTTGAGTGGCAGAGCTGTGGTAGTTGTGTGGTGTGGCAGAGCTGTGATAGTTGTGTGGTGTGGCAGAGCTGTGGTAGTGGTGTGGTGTGGCAGAGCTGTGGTAGTGGTGTGGTGTGGCAGAACTGTGGTAGTGGTGTGGCAGAGCTGTGGTAGTTGTGTGGTGTGGCAGAGCTGTGATAGTTGTGTGGTGTGGCAGAGCTGTGGTAGTGGTGTGGTGTGGCAGAACTGTGGTAGTGGTGTGGCAGAGCTGTGGTAGTTGTGTGGTAGAGCTGTGGTAGTGGTGTGGCAGAGCTGTGGTAATTGTTTAGTGTAGCAGAGCTGTGGTAATGGTGTGGCAGACCTGTTGTAGTGGTCTTGTGTGGCAGAGATGTGACAGTTGTATGGTGTGGCAGAGCTGTGGTAGTGGTGTGGCAAGGATGAAGTAGTTGTGCGGTGTGGCAGGTCTGTGGTAGTTGTGTGGTGTGGCAGAGCTGTGGTAATGGTGTGGTGTGGCAGAGCTGTGGTAATGGTGTGGTGTGGCAGAGCTGTGGTAGTGGCGTCGTGGAGGACGGTTGTCAAGTGCTTGGAGTGTTGGAATTTACAAACAAAGATCTTCCCCATTATTATAATATAAATTAAAACATTGTACATTAATATGTACAAGTGTAAGGTGAGGAGAAAATGACTCGAGCTTAATCTAAGGACAAATGAGGAAGCAGGCGAAGAACAGCCACGTAAGGTATTTTTGTGTGTGTTCAATTTAAGGACTACCTACCCTAAAACTTCTTTAGTATTTATTTATTTATTTATTAAAACTTCTACGATAAATTACTAACAAGTACACTTTAATTCTCATTATAAATCGAGATCAATTGAACTCACTGTGTACATATATTCAATGATGCGGAAAAAATACCTCTGTAAATGTGTTGGGAACACTCACCTTAGCTGACATGTTGCTTCTTGTGGCGCTGGTCAAGCAATGGTGCCTGACTCTGGATGGCGCCGCCTTTTATACTCCCGACCAAGCTGACCTTCGTGACGTCATCAATATATAATGACAAGTCCCACCTACATACAATCCATTATGAACACTGACAACGCTGTACACCTCAGTATCAACACTTGTAACGCTGTACACTTCAGTATTAACACTCTGCAGAACTCTACACCTCAGTATTAACACTGGCAGCACTGTACACATCAGTATTAACACTCGGGCAGCATTGTACAACTCAGTATTAACACTAGCAGCACTGTACACCTCAGTATTAAAAGTGACAGCACTGTACACCTCAGTATTAACACTCCGGCAGCACTGCATACCTCAGTATTAACACTAGCAGTACTGTACACCTCAGTATTAACACTCCGGCAGCACTGTACACCTCAGTATTAACACTCCGGCAGCACTGTACACCTCAGTATTAACACTCCAAAGCCACTGTACACCACAGTATTAACACTGGCAGTACTATACCCCTCAGTATTAACACTGGCAGCACTGTACTCCTCAGTATTAACACTCCGTCAGCACTGTACACCTTAGTATTATCACACCAGCAGCACTGTACTCCTCAGAATTAACACACCAGCAGCACTGTACACCTCAGTATGAACACTCCAGCAGCACTGTTCACCTCAGTATTAATACTGGCAGCACTTTATACTTCAGTATTAACACTCCTTCAGCACTTTATACTTCAGTATTAACACTCCTTCAGCACTTTATACTTTAGTATTAACACTCCTTCAGCACTTTATACTTCAGTATTAACACTCCTTCAGCACTGTACTCCTCAGTATTATTAAAACTCTGGGAGCACTATACACCTCAGTATTAACACTGGCAGTATTGTACACCTCAGTATACACTCCAGCAGTACTGTACACCTCAGTACAACACTCGTAGCGCTCTACACCTCATTATTAACACTCCGGCAGCACTCTATACTTCAGAATTCATACTAGCAGCACTGTACACCTTAGTATAACATTCTGGCAGCATTGCATACCTCAGTATAACACTCCGAGAGCACTGTACACCTCAATATTAATACTCTAGCAGTACTGTACACCTCAGTGTAACACTACTGCAGCACTGTACACGTTAGTATAACACTGGCAGTATTGTACACCTCTGTACAACACTCCGACAGCACTGTAACCCTCAGTATTAAAACTCTGGCAGCATTGTTCACCTCAGTATAACACTGGCAGCACCGTACACCTCAGTATTGACACTCCAGCAGTACTGTACTCCTCAGTGTAACACTTCGACAGTGCTGTACACCTCAGCATAATACTCCGGCAGCACTCTACAGCTCAATATAAAACTGGCAGTACTGCACAGTGAATTTTTACAGAGAAAGAATTTTTTCAGTGTCAGAGTAGTTAATAAATAGAATGCACTAGGAAGTGATGTGGTGGAGGCTGACTCCATACACAGTTTCAAATGTAGATATGATACTGCCCGAAACGCTTTGCGTAATAGTGGCTTTAGGCATTGTATGTACTAGCTCCTATCTATAAAGCCAACAAACTTTGTAAAATCTCTTTATGTATGTACCTTTGCCTAAATAAAAATTATTATTATTATTATTATTATTATAGAGCCCAGTAGGCTCAGGAATCTGTACACCAGTTGATTGACAGTTGAGAGGCGGGACGAAAGAGCCAAAGCTCAACCCCCGCAAGCACAATTAGGTGAATTAGGTGAGTACACACATCAGTATAACACTCCTGTAGCACTGTACACTTCTGTATTAACACTGTACACCTCAGTATAACACTCCGGCAACACTGTACATCTCAATATTTACTCTTCGGCAGCATCGTAAACCTCCGCATAGCACTCCTGCAGCACTCTACAACTTAGTATAATACTGTCAGTACTGTACACTTCAGCATAACACTCCAGTAGCACTGTATCATGGAACTGTTGGTCCGCATATGCTTAGTGATCGGGCTTTGTAGAAATTGTACGTTCTTTGACGAAACCCAGTTGTTTGTGCATTGTCAGGCGTCTGGACAGATATTTTGTTGTCTTGCCGATATAACAAGATCATTGGGACTGACAGTCCCTAAGTGGGCATGTAAAATGCATGAATGATTATCGTCTCTTTCAAGGCATTTCGTTTGGTACTGATCTAGATTTCTTTCTGAGCAAGTTGGCAGTCTTCTGTTTCTTGTAGTAGACTGTAAACGCTATCTGCTGGTTGGTGTTGATAAGGGTCACGTTTATATCAATACTATCTTTCAGGACACTTCCCTTCACTCATTACTTACTTTACTCCGATTTGGAAGAGTTGAAAATAACTCCCTATAGAATTGTTTGGTATTAGGGACACATATTGCAATGTTGGCCGTTGTATCAGAGGAAGCATAAGTGCTGGATCAGCCGGGTTGTAGTAGATGTGTGGGCGTGCATGCTACTGCAAGCAAGAGCCTGATGGATTAAGATATTGCCGAACAAGGGCTTGGGATGGAGACAATTTTTTAAACGGCTAAATGTAAGTAGGTAGGTAATCGACTACAGGTAAACAGGTAAATAAAATCGTGTTTTGCAGTCGTGTAATTTTATTTACAAAAATAATTGACTACCGTATTTGAAGGCCTTGTGGTGGCTGCTTGTTTTCCATTCGTAATGACAAAGCAATAGAGTTGCAGGTGGGAGAGTTGGTGCCACCTTGGACGCTCCTAGCTTACCTAAGGCAACTTGGAATAATTCAAGTGCAGGCTGGGATATTCCCAAGCAAAGTAGGAACAAGTAGTAATCAGTGAGCAGAGGAGTGTTGAAGGAAGATGTGTGACTAGAGGTGATTGATTGATTGATGAAGTTTATGCCACCCAAGAGGTGGCACTGGCATGAATAGCCCTTGTAAATAGAGATGGCATTGTCGCATATTATACATCAGATCTGAGGCTTAGGCATAAGGACGTGGTATTGGTTTTGAGCCATAGGTTGGAGGCGGGGCCCCATAGGAAAGGAGTGATGGTCCATAGGATGGGGGTGAAGGTCCGTAGGATGGAGATGGATAGGTGGCTTCTCCCTGGTAAGTAACGTCAGCAACGTAGCCGTTGTCGTCAGCATGGAAGGTGACGATCTGAGTGCGTCCGTCGGGAAGAAGCACCCTGTAGGAACCGGATGTGAGTTTACCGTCGCTCTTCTCGTCGTGCGCGAAGTCGTTACCGGAGTAGTCATCCCTAACGGCGTAGGCGAAGTCGAAGGGCATGCCGGGCTCGTTGTAGGATGGGGTTGGCCCGTAGCGTGGTGGAGCTGGGGGCCCGTATGGTGGGGGTGTAGGGGGCCTGTAGGGTCGTGGTGTAGGAGGCCCGTAGGGTGGTGGTGTAGGAAGCCCGTATGGTGGTGGGGGCTCAGCACAAACCACAGCCACTATGGCTGCCGCTACGAAGACCTGTTTCACAAGAGAAATATGTTAGTGTTCAATATTTTTATGTATTCAATATACATGAAAAACAGTAGTTTTATCAATTTACATCATGATTTAATGATAAGTAAAGGTCCTTCAAAGAAGTATAATGTTGCACTGCAGTCCCAGTTGCACCAAAGTAGAACAGGCAATGAAAAAATCTTAAGTTAATGGAAAGAAAATTGCCTTTAAAGCTCAAATCTATGAATAGAAGAATTTTTTTTAAATGCCTGAATTCTTGCACGTAAGATTAACAGGAGTGTGTTACACTCTTGTTATACATTATGGTTGGTCATATTGAACGAATTGATGATGACTTTAGGGAAGAGAGTGTTCAAGTGCAATTGAGGATTGGTGAAGAGTTAGTTAAGACAGGAGACATTATGAGTGTGAGGCAGTCTGAATTGAGTGTATCACCTGGGATTGACTGTATCAGCTGGGTTTGAGTGAATCACTTGGAATAGAGTGTGTCGGCTGGGATTAAGTCAATCAGTTGGGATTTAGTGTATCAGCTGGGATTTAGTGTATCAACTGGAATAGAGTGTATCAGCTGGGTATTCAGTGTATCAGCTGGGATTGAGTGCGAGCAGCTCAAGAGAAATGGTGTGACATTAATTTAAGTGCCAGTGATTTTACATGTTTTAGGTGGGAATTACGGAATGTTTGTGTTGCTGGTGTTGGTTGTGTCGTGTGGTGGCCTGTCCTTCTAAAACTGTATTACTTTTACCAACTATTTCCTGAAACGTACAAAAAATGGGCTGTTGGACTACCAAAAAGTTCCCGTTATGCATTACTGAATTAGCCCAAATGGTATATAAGTGAAATTTAAAAGTAACAAAAATAACCTAACCTTTTTAAAGGCGTAAATAAAAAAAATCCTATGCTTAATATATGCTATCTTAGGCATAATATAGAGTATGAATAGTATTTAGAGTATGTATAGTATGAATGTAGAGTACAAAGTGTGAACATTGTTGGTTGCAACAGCTCATTTTTGTATGTTCGATCAAATAGTTGCTATAAGTGCTATAATGTTAGGAGGATTTGTTGTGTGGTGTTGCAGAGCTGTTGTAGTGGTGTGATGTGGTAGAGCTTTGGTAGTGGTGTGGCAGAGATGTGGTAGTTATGTAGTGTAGCACAGCTGTTGTAGTGGTGTGGCAGACCTGTGGTAGTGGTGTGGTGTGGCAGAGGTGTGGTAGTTGTGTGGTGTGGCAGAGCTGTGGTAGTTGTGTGGCAGAGATGTGGTAGTTGTGTGGTGTTGCAGAGCTGTGGTAGTGGCGTCGTGGAGAACGGTCATCAAGTTGTTGGAGTGTTGGAATTTACAAACACAGACCTTTTCCATTGTTATAATATGTACAAGTTTAAGGTGAGGACAAGATGACCCAAGCTTAAGCTAAGAACAAATGAGGACGCAGGCGAAGAACAGCCAAGTAAGGTATTTTTTGTGTGTGTTCAGTTTAAGGACTAACTACCTTAAAACTTCTTTAGTATTTATTTATTTAATAAAACTTCCACGATAAATTACTAACAAGTACACTTTAATTCTCATTATTGTTCGAGATCAATTAAACTCACTGTGTACAAATACTCAATGATGCGGAAAAACACCTCAGTGTAAATGTGTAGGAAACACTCACCTTAGCTGACATGTTGCTTCTTGTGGCGCTGGTCAAGCAATGGTGCCTGACTCTGGATGGCGCCGACTTTTATACTCCCGACCAAGCTGACCTTCGTGACGTCTTCAATATATAATGACAAGTCCCACCTACATACAATCCATTATGAACACTGACAACGCTGTACACATCAGTATTAACACTTGTAACGTTATATACCTCAGTATTATCACTGGCACAGCAGTACATCTCAGTATTAACACTGGCAATGCTGTACATTTCAGTATAACACTGGCAACACTGTACACTTTAATATAACACTGGCAACACCGTACACCTCAGTATTAAGACTGGCAACGATATAAATATCTGTTTTAACACTGTACACCTCAGTATTAACACAAAAAATTATGGACACTTCAGTATTAACACTGACAATGGGTTAAACCTCTGTACTAACACGGGCAACGGTGTATATCTCAGTATTAACACTGTACAACTAAATAGTAACACTGGCAACGGTGTATATCTCAGTATTAACACTGTACAACTAAATAGGAACACTGGCAACATTGTACATCCGAGTATTAACACTGACAACATTGTACACCTCAGTATTAACACGGTACACCTCATTATAACACTCTGGCAGCACTGTACACCTCAGTATATCACTCTCGCACCACTGTACACCTCAGTTTTAATACTCTGGCTACACTGTGCACCTCAGTATTAACACTAGCAGCACTGTACATCTCAGTATTAACACTCCAGCACCATTGTACACTTCAGTATTAACACTAGCAGTACTGTACACCTCAGTATTAACACTGGCAGCACTGTACACCTCAGTATTAACACTCCGGCAGCATTGTACACCTCAGCATTACTACTAGCAGTACTGCACAACTCAGTATTAACAATGGCAACATTGTACACCTCAGTACTAAAACTGACAGCACTGTACATCTCAGTATTAACACTCCGGCTGCACTGTACACCTCAGTATTAAAACTAGAAGCACTTTGCAGCTCATTATTAACGCTGTCAGCACTGAGCACCTCAGTATTAACACTCCGGCAGCACTGTATAAATCACTATTAACACTAGAAGTACTGTACACCTAAGTATTAACACTCCGGCAGCACTGTACACCTCAGTATTAACACAAAAAGTACTGTACACCTCAGTATTAACACTGGCAGCAGTGTACACTACAGTATTAACACTCCGGCAGCACTGAATACCTCAGTATTAACACTCCAAAACCACTGAACACCTCAGTATTAACACTGGCAGTACTGTACACCGTAGGATTAATACTGGCAGCACTGTACACCTCAGTATTAACAATTAACATGCAAAAACACAACTAGTAAACTAACAGCATTGTACACCTCAGTATTAACACTCCAGCAGCATTGTACACCTCAGTATTAACACTCCAGCAAATACTGTACACTTCAGTGTAACTCTCCGGCAGAACTGTACACCTTAGAATAACATTGTAAAATGTGTGGCCACGTCTGTGGTAGATAAAAAATATAAAAAAATAACACTGGCAGTACTGTACAGCTCAGTATAACACTCCGACAGCACTGTATTAACACTGTACACCTCGGTATAACAATCCGACAACACTGTACACCTCAATATTAAAGCTCCGGCAACACTGTGCACCTCAGTATTAACACTAGCAGCACTGTACATCTCAGTATTAACACTCCAGCACCATTGTACACTTCAGTATTAACACTAGCAGTACTGTACACCTCAGTATTAACACTGGCAGCATTGTACAACTCATATTAAAACTGACAGCACTCTACATCTCAGTATTAACACTCCGGCAGCACTGAACACCTCAGTATTAACACTAGAAGTACTGTACAGCTCAGTATTAACACTGTCAGCACTGAGCACTTCAGTATTAACACTCCGGCAGCACTGCACACATCAGTATTAACACTAGAAGTATTGTACACCTCAGTATTAACACTGGCAGCACTGTACATTTCAGAATTAACACTAGAAGTACTGTACACCTCAGTATTAAAACTACGGCAGCACTGTACACCTCAGTATTAACACTAAAAGTACTGTACACCTCATTATTAACGCTAGCAGCAGTGTACACTTCAGTATTAACACTCCGGCAGCACTGTACACCTCAGTATTAACACTACAAAGCCACTGTACACCTCAGTATTAACACTCCAAAGCCACTGTACACCTCAGTATTAACACTGGCAGTACTGTACACCTCAGGATTAATACTGGCAGCACTGTACACCTCAGGATTAATACTGACAGCACTGTACGCCTCAGTATTAACACTCCGACAGCATTGTACTCCTCAGTATTAACACTCCGGCAGCATTGTACACTTCAGTATTAACACTCCAGCAAATACTGTACACCTCAGTGTAACTCTCCAGCAGCACTGTACACCTTAGTATAACACGGGCAGTACTGTACAGCTCAGTATAACACCGACAGCACTGTACTATCACTGTACATCTCGGTATAACACTCCGACAACACTGTACACCTCAGTATTAACACTCCGGCAGTACTGTTCACCTCAGTATAACACTGGCAGCACCGTACATCTCAGTATTAACACTCCACCAGTACTATACACCTCAGTGTAACACTCCGGCTGTGCTGAACACCTCAGCATAACACTCCAGCAGCACTCTACAACTCAGTATAACACTGGCAGTACTGCACACACATCAGTATAACACTCCTGCAGCACATTACACTTCTGTATTAATACTGTACACCTCAGTATAACACTGGCAACACTGTACATCTCAATATTAACACTCTGGCGGCATTGTACACCTCAACATAGCACTCCTGCAGCACTCTATAACTTAGTATATCACTGACAGTACTGTACATCTCAGCATAACACTCCGGTAGGACAGTATCTTGGAGCTGTTGGTCCGCATAAGCCTAGTGATCGGACTTTGTAGAAATTGTATGTTCTCTGATGAAACCCTGTTGTTTTTGCATTGTCAAGCGTCTGGACAGATATTTTGTTGTCTTGCCGATATAACAAGATCATTGGGACTGACAGTCCTTAAGTGGGCGTGTAAAAAGCATGAACGATGATCGTCTCTTTCAAGGCATTTCGCTTGGTGTCGATCTTGATTTCTTCATGACCAAGTTGGCAGTCTTCTGTTTCTTGTAGTAGACTGTCAAAGCTATCTTCTGGTTGGTGTTGATAAGGATCACGTTTCTATCAATTCTGTCTTTCAGAACTCTTCCCTTCGTTCATTACTTACTTTCCTCCGCTTTGGAAGAGTTGAAAAGAACTCCCTGTAGAACAGTTTGATATCAGGGACACATACTGCAATGTTGGCCGTTGTATCAGAGGAAGCATAAGTGCTGGATCAGCCGGGTTGTAGTAGATGTGTGGGCGTGCATGCTACTGCATGCAAGAGCCTGATGGATTAAGATATTGCCAAACAAGGCCTTGGGTTGGAGACATCTTTTTAAACGACTTTATGTAAGTAGGTAGGTAATCGACTAAATATAAATAGGTAAATAAAATCGTGTTTTGCAGTCGTGTAATTTTATTTACAAAAATATTTGACTACTTTATATGGAGGCTTTGTGGTGGCTGCTTGTTTTCCATTCGTAATAGCAAAGCAATAGAGTTGCAGGTGGGACAGTTGGTGCCAACTGGGACGCTGCCAGCTGGCTTAAGGCAGCTTGGAATAAGTTGGAATATTTCAAGTGCAGGCTGGGATATTCCCAAGCAAGGTGGAAACAAGTAGTAATCAGTGCAACCCGTGCTCTTAAAAATAACGTCACTTTTGGCTCGTATGCGCGCTATGGCCAAATTTGGACGTAATTTGAAATGAAATCGACTCACAAAAGTGACGTACTGTTCCGTTTTCTGTTTGAGTCGTCCGGCTTACTCGGCAAGCTTAGAAGAGACAACTTTCCATTAACGTTTTTCATACCGTTTTGAAACTTTATGAGAATTTCCTGCCCACCTAATCTATCAGAGGACCCTTAACTTACTGTTGTTGAAAAAAAAAATCCCAAATTTATTTTTTTTTTTTTTTCATTTTCAAATTATGTCCATATTCGGCTATACAGGCAAACGGCCAAAAGCGACGTTCTTTTTAAAAGGACAGGTTGATCAGTGAGCAGAGGAGTGTTGCAGGAAGATGTGTGACTAGAGGTGATAGAGGTGGCATTGTCGCATATTATATATCAGATCTGAGGCTTAGGCGTAAGGGCTTGGTGTTGGTTTTGGGCCATAGGTTGGAGGCGGGGGACCGTAGGAAGGTGGTGATGGTCCATAGGATGGGGGTGAAGGTCCGTAGGATGGAGATGGATAGATGGCTTCTCCCTGGTAGGTGACGTCAGCGACGTAGCCGTTGTCGTCAGCATGGAAGGTGACGATCTGAGTGCGTCCGTCGGGGAGAAGCACCCTGTAGGACCCGGATGTGAGTTTACCGTCGCTCTTCTCGTCGTGCGCGAAGTCGTTACCGGAATAGTCATCCCTAACGGCGTAGGCAAAGTCGAAGGGCATGCCGGGCTCGTTGTAGGATGGGGTTGGCCCATAGCGTGGTGGAGCTGGGGGCCCGTATGGTGGGGGTGTAGGGGGCCTGTAATGTGGTGGTGTAGGAGGCCCGTAGGGTGGTGGTGTAGGAGGCCCATAGGGTGGTGGTGTAGGAGGCCCATAGGGTGGTGGTGTAGGGAGCCCGTATGGTGGTGGGGGCTCAGCACACACCACAGCCACTATGGCTGCCGCTACGAAGACCTGTTCCACAAGAGAGATGAGTTAGTGTTCAATTTTCTTATGTATTCAATACACATGAAAATACAATAGCTTTGCCAAAGTTCATCATGATTTAATGATAAGTAAGGGTCCTTCAAAGAAGGGCAACACTCACTGTCCCTTCCTTACCAAACAAGTAATTGACAAAAGAAAAAACAGCCCATGGCTCACAAGTGGCATAATTAAATCAATCAACAAAAAACATGAATATGAAAAGAAATTTAGGTTTGGCCTAGTTACAAAGGAAGTAGTTAAAAGGTACTCATCACTGCTTACCAGTATCATAAGAAAAGCTAAACTTTCATATCATGAGACTAGATTCAAAGAAGCAAAAGGCAACATGAAAAGCACATGGAATACCATCTCTAATATCCTAGGAACTAAACAACACATTCCTCATCCAGATAACACTCTCTAAGGATGGCCTTACACCGGCAACTGATTTAGAAATGGCGAATGAATTTAATAGTTTCTTTTCATCGGTTGGTGCTAACCTTGCCAGTAAAATCTCACAGACTCAGACACATATCAACACATATCTCTCAGGCAGCTATCCAAACTCTCTTCTCCTTTCACCAGTCAGCCCGACAGATGTTGTGTCCATCATACACTCACTAAAAACCAAAGCTGGGAACATCAGTGAAATCCCATCCATTGTATACAAGAGCGCCTCCCATGCCCTTGCGCCACCTGTAGCTCTGCTGTTCAACAAATCCCTTGAGTGTCATACCTTCCCTGATATCCTTAAAAAAGCAAGAGTAACGCCAGTTCATAAAGGACGTAATCCGGCAGACATAAACAATTATAAACCAATATCAAACCTACCCTTACTATCAAAAATATTTGAAAAATTATTTTCAAACAGCTCTACTCCTATCTCGTAAAATTTGACATTCTTAGCCCCTGTCAGTTTGGCTTCCGCTCCCAAAAGAGTACCAACGATGCAATTATTAGTCTCCTTGATATAATTTACTCAGCCCTTGACAAAAATGAGTTTCCGATTGGACTCTTCATTGACCTGAGAAAGGCCTTTGATACTGTTAATCACAATTACCTCTTACGTAAATTCCATCATTATGGAATCCGAGGCCATGCACTGGACTATATCCAATCCTATCTTAGTGATAGACACCAATGTGTAGCCATCAATAATATAACCTCTCCCACTCTACCAATAACCGTTGGAGTGCCACAGGGCAGCATCTTGGGACCTCTCCTATTGATTTAGGATCATTGATATACATCAATGATCTGCCTAATGTCTCTAACATTCTGAAACCTATTTTGTTTGCTGATGATACTACCCTCATCTACTCTAACCCCAACCCACATACACTAAATAATGTTGTTAATAATGAACTAAAAAAGTCCACTTAAGGATGTCAACCAACAAACTAACACTTAACATAGAAAAGACCTACTACATCTTATTTGGAAGCAAATCAAAAAATGTAATTCAGCTTCAGATAGACAATGTAAACATTAGCAATAAAAATGATGGAAAGTTTCTTAGCCTATTCCTAGACAAGAGACTCAACTTCAGCACCCACATACAACACATAACTAAGAAAGTCTCTAAAACAGTTAGTATACTCTCCAAAATCAGATATTATGTCCAAAATCCAAAGATCCAAAATCATAATATCTGTGTTCCACAGATATTATGTACCTAACTCTGCTCTCATCTCTCTATATTATGCACTAATCTATCCCTATCTTAATTATGATATCTGTGCATGGGGTTCAACCACTGCAAACCACCTCAAGTCCATCATCACCCAGCAAAAATCTGCTATCAGAATAATAACAAATTCTACTTTCAGACAACACTCAGCCCCCTTGTTTAACTCCCTAAACATCCTAAACATAATCTCACTCCACAAATTCTCTTGTGTCAACCACATTTATAAAATCCTGTTCTTAAATGCAAATCCTGCTCTGAAACTCTTCCTGGACAGATGTAATAGGACCCATTATCACCACACCAGAAATAAATATCTCTTTGATATCCCCAGAGTCAAACTTAATCTTTGTAAACACTCTATGCAAATAAAGGGACCCAGTCTATGGAACTCACTCCCTATTGAATTGAAAAGCTGTCCAACTTTTACATCATTCAAAAAAATACTAAAACGTACATAATTTCATCCTCATAGTTTTTTACCTTTTGCTTTAAAATTCCACTGTATCTATTGCTACCCAATCTCCCATTCTTTATGTACCCAATCCGAACATCTTTACCATTGTGATCATTGCTGTCTTCTTATATGTGCTATCAATCTGCTGTATGGTGTCTATTAATCTTGTTTAAATTACCAATCAAGCTGTCAATGTAATCTATCAGAGCTTTAATATACTTACTAATCTCTCTCATCTCATTTTTTTTTCTTGCAATGTATTTGTTATCATTTTATTAATTCTGCTAGAATTTACCTACTTAAAATTATCTCTTAGATTAAGGACCTGCCCGAAACGCTGTGTGTACTAGTGGATTTACAAGATTGTAAATACTATGCTATGTATTCTCACAAACCCAATGTACCTTCTTGTATATAAATAAATAAATAACTAAATAAATAAATGTCAACCCATGTCTTACCATTAAACAAAATGCTGTTTGTTGACCAACTTGTATATTGGCTATTTTCTACCATGTTCCCCCTTTTTTTATCTTTTATTATTATTTTGTTTAATTCAACGCAATTTATACTTTAAGCTCAATTACTATTAAGTTTTAGTCTAAGTGTTTTTTTCCCCATCTTTCCTTGCCCGAAACGCTTTGCGTATTAGTGGCTTTAGGTGTTGTATGTACTACCTCTATCTTTAAATCTAACAGAATGTTTGTACTGTAACGCTACAACAATGTACTGTTCCTAAATAAATTATTATTATTAAGTATAATGCTGCACTGGAGTCCCAGTTGCACAAAAGTAGAATAGGCAGTGTAAAAATCTTAAGTTAATGGAAAGAAAATTGCCTTTAAAGCTCAAATCTATGAACAAAAGCATTTTTTTAAAATGCCTGAATTCTTACACGTAAGATTAACAGGGGTGTGTTATACTCTTGTTAAACATTATGGTTGGTCATATTGAACGAATGGATGATGACTTTAGGACAGAGAGTGTTCAAGTGCAATAGAGAGTTGGTGAAGAGTTAGTTCAGACAGGAGACATTATGAGTGTGAGGCAGTCTGAATTGAGTGTATCGGCTGGGATTGAGTGTATCAGCTGGGATTGAGTGTATCATCTGGAATAGAATGTATCAGCTGGGATTGAGTTGTATCAGCTGGGATTGAGTGTATCAGCTGGCATTGAGTGTATCAGCTGGGATTGAGTGTATCATCTGGAATAGAGGGTATCAGCTGGGATTGAGTGTATCATCTGGAATAGAGTATCAGCTGGGATTGAGTTGTATCAGCTGGGATTGAGTTGTATCAGCTGGGATTGAGTGTATCAGTTGGGATTGAGTGTATCAGCTGGGATTGAGTGTATCAGCTGGGATTGAGTTTATCAGCTGGGATTGAGTGTATCAGCTGGTATTGAGTGCGAGCAGCTAAAGAGAAATAGTGTGACATTAATTTAAGTGCCAGTGATTGACATGTTTTAGGTGGGAAATTACGGAATGTTTGTGTTGCTGGTGTTGGTTGTGTCGTGTGGTGGCCCGTCCTTCTAAAACTGTAGTACTTTTACCAACTATTTCCTGAAACGTACAAAAAATGGGCTGTTGGACTACCAAAAAGTTCCCGTTATGTATTACTGAATTAGCCCAAATGGTATATAAGTGAAATTGAAAAGTAACAAAAATAATCTAACCTTTTTATAGGCGTAAATCAAAAAAATGCCTATGCTTAATATATGCTATCTTAGGCATAATATAGAGTATGAATAGTATTTAGAGTAGGTATAGCATGAATGTAGAGTACAAAGTGTGTACATTGTTGATTGCAACAGCTCATTTTTGTATGTCCGATTATATAGTTGCTATCATGTTAGGAGGATTTGTTGTGTAGTGTTGCAGAGCTGTGGAAGTGGTGTGGTGTGGCAGAGCTGTGGTAGTGGTGTGGCAGGGCTGTGGTAGTGGTGTGGCAGAGATGTGGTAGTTGTGTAGTGTAGAAGAGCTGTTGTAGTGGTGAGGCAGACCTGTGGTAGTGGTGTGGTGTGTCAGAGGTGTGGTGTGGCAGAGATGTGGTAGTTGTGTGGTGTGGCAGGTCTGTGGTAGTTGTGTGGTGTGGCAGGTCTGTGGTAGTTGTGTGGTGTGGCAGAGCTGTGGTAGTGGCATCGTGGAGAACGGTCATCAAGTGCTTCGAGTGTTAGAATTTACAAAGATCTTTTCTATTGTTATAATATGTACAAGTGTAAGAGAGGACAAGATGACCCAAGCTTCAGCTAAGGACAAATGAGGACGCAGGCGAAGAACAGCCAAGTAAGGTATTTTTTGCGTGTGTTCAGTTTAAGGACTAACTACCTTAAAACTTCTTTAGTATTTATTTATTTATTAAAACTTCCACGATAAATTACTAACAAGTTCACTTTAATTATCTTTATAGTTCGAGATCAATTAAACTCACTGTGTACATATACTCAATGATGCGGAAAACCACCTCAGTGTAAATGTGTAGGGAACACTCACCTTAGCTGACATGTTGCTTCTTGTGGCGCTGGTCGAGCAATGGTGCCTGACTCTGGAAGGCGCCGCCTTTTATACTCCCGACCAAGCTGACCTTCGTGACGTCTTCAATATATAATGACAAGTCCCACCTACATACAATCCATTATGAACACTGACAACGCTGTACACATCAGTATTAACACTTGTAACGTTATATACCTCAGTATTACCACTGGCAGAGTAGTACATCTCAGTATTAACACTGGCAATGCTGTACACGTCAGTATAACACTGGCAACACTGTACACTTTAGTATAACACTGGAACCACCGTACACCTCAGTATTAAGACTGGCAACAATATAAATATCTGTATTAACACTGTACACCTCACCATTAACACTGAAAATGCTGGACACATCAGTATTAACACTGACAATAGGTTAAACCTCTGTACTAACACTGACAATGGTGTATATCTCAGTATTAACACTGACAACAATGTACACCTCAATATTAACACGGTACACCTCATTAAAACACTCTAGCAGCACTGTACACCTCAGTATATCACTCCAGCACCACTGTACACCTCAGTATTAACACTGGCAGCACTGTACACCTCAGTATTAAAACTCCGGCAGCATTGTACACCTCAGTATTAACACTAGCAGCACTCTACACCTCAGTATTAACACTGGCAGAATTGTACACCTCAGTTGTTACGGCCCTCTCGGGTCGCAACGGGGTTCTTACTCTGATGTTGTTAGAGGAAGATATATCCGGTCCCAAGCCAGTAGTGGCTATCAAGGGATGTGATCCGTGATGCAAGTAACTTAAAAGGGGAAGGGAAAGAAAGTTAAGAACTTAAGATTATTATTCACCATCACCAAATAAATAATATATAAAAGAGTGCACAGGGGGAGGGGTATAAACACTTATTTACAGGGGAAATACACTGTAGTCTTCTGCTGACGACTATGGATCCTCGCTCTCGGTGCTAAATCCTCGGTGCTTCTTCGTGGCCTCACAACGAATCCTCTAGGAAGCTGAGCCTACCCTGGCCACAGGTCAGCCAAAACACAGGTCCACTGGGGGCACCGCCATGGAGGCCGTCAACCACACGTCCAGCAGGTTCGCTGGCAGGTTCCGGATCAGCAAGGCTGGTCAGGCCACTCCACGAACGATATAAGGGGAACGCCCTAGACAGGAGCCTCGTGTGACACCACAAAATCACTCTCCTGTCCTCAGTACCCCTGTGGATAAACGTCTCCAGCAGTCTGTCCCGGGTAATCCTTCTACTGCCACTCCACTGGCAGGGTAACACCACAGTGTTCTTCCGGGAGGCGACTCACAGCTGCTACAGCAAAGCACAAGGTATGGGGACGGCTGCCTTGGGTAGACTGACTCAACTTCCATCACAGCAGTCCCAGGTCGACTCTGTAAGTAGACACATCATCAATAACTGGGACACACTAAGGCACCTCACTTACAGGCTCAGACACAAACGCCCACCTATCCACTCCATAGATGGCGCTGGTGTCTGAGCACCACCTCACCAGAGGTCAGCAGCGGCTGTGTTGAGCGCTGAACAGGACTGGAAACTGGCCCTCGTAGCCAGTACACGTCGTCCTCACCAGGTGTCGTCGTCCGTTTGGAGGGGGTTTTGGGAGCCGACCCACAGATGGCGCGGTCGTCACTGCTCCGTGCTCGGACGCTGGATCCGGGTCCGTAACATCAGTATTAAAACTGACAGCACTGTACATCTCAGTATTAACACGCCGGCAGGACTGTACACCTTAGTATTAAAACTAAAAGTACTGTACAGCTCAGTATTAACACTGTCAGCACTGAGCACCTCAGTATTAACGCTATCAGCACTAAGCATCTCAGTATTAACACTCCGGCAGCACTGTACACATCAGTATTAACACTAGAAGTACTCACATAACCTGCACATTAACTGAACACTGTAACTTCATATTAACACTACACCTGTAGCACTAGTATTACACATGACAACCTGTACTTAATCATTAACACTGCACTTAATCCAGCACATTGAACCACATTAACACTCAACTGTACACTCTCAGTTTACACCGTCAGATTAACCTGAATTACACTCCAGTATTACACCCAGTTGTACACTCAGACTGTACACCTCAGTATAACACCGGAGACTGTACACCTCAGTATACACTCCAGCATGTAACACTCGAACAGTATACCCGATTAACTCACACTCGTAACTAGATACACGGCTAACGTCACCTCAGTATTCGACTCCATATGACACCCGTACACTAGTAAACGAACTGACACTCAGTATTAACATTATTAACAGTACATCGCAACTGATACTAACCTATACATACCTAGCAGATTACTACGCTACTGATATCTAACACCTGAATCGTACTGTTCACAGTACGATAGACATGGGTTAGCACGTTGGGGCATTCTAATGCGTATTGATCCCGTCAACGCAGCGACTGGAATTCACCGGGTTAAGCACGTGATACCGGAAGTGCAAGCGACAAGCCTCAAGGAAGCAATGCCGAAGGCCACAGGCACAAAAAGGTCACAGGCCCAATACAGAAACATAGGTCCGCAACAGTACACGTAACCGAAGCAATAAAGTCGAAAGTCACCGTCAAAAAGTTCAACAACACTATCACTATACACCAATATTAACACGTAACCAACACTAAACACTCTAGCATAACACTGTCATACACTAGTACACCTCAGTATACAGCAACACTGACACCTTACACTCAATAAACACTGACCACTGTACACCTCAATATACACACATGTACCATATTAACCTGCAACACTGCAACATTACACTCTACAATATAACCTCACATGTATACTATACAACCACTGTACACCTCAGTTACTCTACACTATACACTACACTGTAACTTAACACTGTTATTCAATATACATGAAAATACAATAGTTTTGTCAATTTACATCATGATTTAATGATAAGTAAGGGTCCTTCAAAGAAGTATAATGTTGCACTGGAGTCCCAGTTGCACCAAAGTAGAATAGGCAGTGAAATTTTTTTAAGTTAATGGAAAGAAAATTGCCTTTAAAGCTCAAATCTATGAATAGAAGAATTTTTTTAAATGCCTGAATTCTTGCACGTAAGATTAACAGGGGTGTGTTATACTCTTGTTATACATTATGGTTGGTCATATTGAACGAATGGATGATGACTTTAGGGCAGAGAGTGTTCAAGTGCAATAGAAGGTTGGTGAAGAGTTAGTTCAGACAGGAGACATTATGAGCGTGAGGCAGTCTGAATTGAGTGTATCAGCTGGAATTAAGTGTATCATCTGGAATAGAGTGCATCAGCTGGGATTGAGTTGTATCAGCTGGGATTGAGTGTATCAGCTGGGATTGAGTGTATCGGCTGGGATTGAGTTGTATCAGCTGGGATTGAGTGTATCAGTTGAAATTGAGTGTAACAGCTAGGATTGAGTGTATTAGCTGGGATTAAGTGTATAACTGCAGGAATTGAGTTTATCCGCTGGGATTAAGTGTATCAGCAGGAATTGAGTTTATCCGCTGGGATTAAGTGTATCAGCTGGGATTGAGTGTATCAGCTGGGATTGAATGCGAGCAGCTCTAGAGAAATAGTGTGACATTAATTTAAGTGCCAGTGATTGATATGTTTTAGGTGGAAAATTACGGAATGTTTGTGTTGCTGGTGTTGGTTGTGTCGTGTGGTGGCCTGTCCTTCTAAAACTATAGTACTTTCACCAACTATTTCCTGAAACGTAAAAAAGAATGGGCTGTAGAACTATCAAAAAGTTCCCGTTTTGTATTACTTAATTAGCCCAAATGGTATATTAGTAAAATTGAAAAGTAACAAAAATAACCTAACCTTTTTAAAGGCGTAATTAAAAAAAAAAATGCTAGACCTAATATAAATGCTATATTAGGTATAATGTAGGGTATTAATAGTATTTAGAGTATGTACAGTATGAATGCAGAGTACAAAGTGTAAACATTGTTGGTTGCAACAGCTCATTTTTGTATGTTCGACCAAATAGTTGCTATAAGTGCTATAATGTTAGGAGGATTTGTTGAGTAGTGTTGAAGAGCTGTGGTTGTGGTGTGGTGTGGCAGAGCTGTGGTAGTGGTGTGGCAGAGCTGTTGTAGTTGTGTAGTGTGGCAGAGCTGTTGTTGTATTGTGACAGAACTGTGATAGTTGTGTGGTGTGGTAGAGCAGTGGTAGTGGTGTGGCATAGATGTGGTATTTGTGTAGTGTAGCAAAGCTGTTGTAGTGGTGTGGTAGACCTGTGGTAGTGGTGTGGTGTGGCAGAGGTGGGGTAGTTGTGTGGTGTGGCAGAGCTGTGGTAGTGGTGTGGCAGATATGTTGTAGTTGTGTGGTGTGGCAGGGCTGTTGTAGTTGTGTGGTGTGGCAGAGCTGTGGTAGTGGCGTCGTGGAGAACGGTCATCAAGTGCTTGGAGTGTTCGAATTTACAAACACAGATCTTTTCTATTGTTATAATATGTACGAGTGTAAGAGAGGACAAGATGACCCAAGCTTCAGCTAAGGACAAATGAGGACGCAGGCGAAGAACAGCCAAGTAAGGTATTTTTTGTGTGTGTTCAGTTTAAGGACTAACTACCTTAAAACTTCTTTAGTATTTATTTATTTATTAAAACTTCTACGATAAAATACTAACAAGTACACTTTAATTCTCATTATAGTTCGAGATCAATTAAACTCAGTGTGTACATATATTCAATGATGCGGAAAAACACCTCAGTGTAAATGTGTAGGGAACACTCACCTTAGCTGACATGTTGCTTCTTGTGGCGCTGGTCAAGCAATGGTGCCTGACTCTGGATGGCGCCGACTTTTATACTCCCGACCAAGCTGACCTTCGTGACGTCTTCAATATTTAATGACAAGTCCAACCTACATACAATCCATTACGAACACTGACAACGCTGTACACCGCAGTATTACCACTGGCAGAGCAGTACATCTCAGTATTAACACTGGCAATTCTGTACACTTCAGTATTACACTGGCAACACTGTACACTTTATTATAACACTGGCAACACCGTATACCTCAGTATTAAGACTGGCAACGATATAAATATCTGTATTAACACTGTACACCTCAGCATTAACAATGAAAGTGCTGGACACATCAGTATTAACAATGAAGGTGCTGGAGACATCAGTATTAACAATGAAAGTGCTGGACACATCAGTATTAACACTGACAATGGGTTAAACCTCTGTACTAACACTGGCAATGGTGTATATATCAGTATTAACACTGTACAACTAAATAGTAACACTGGCAACATTGTACATCCGAGTATTAACACTGACAACAATGTACACCTCAGTATTAACACGGTACACCTCAATAAAATATTTTAACAGCACTGTACACCACAGTATATTACTCCAGCACCACTGTACACATCAGTATTAACACTTCGGCAGCGCTGTACACCTCAGTATTAACACTCTGGCAGAATTGTACACCTCGGTATAAACACTCCAATGCCACTGTACACCTCAGTATTAACATTCTGGCAGTACTGTACACCTCAGGATTAATACTGGTAGCACTGTACACCTCAGTATTAACACTCCGACTGCATTGTACACCTCAGTATTAACACTGGCAGCATTGTACACCTCAGTATTAACACTCCAGCAAATACTGTACACCTCAGTGTAACTCTCCGGCAGCACTGTATACCTTAGTATAACACTGGCAGTACTGTACAGCTCAGTATAACACTCCGACAGCACTGTAATAACACTGTACACCTCGGTATAACACTCCGACGACACTGTACACCTCAGTATTAACACTGAAAATGCTGAACGCTTCAGTATTACCACTGACAATGGGTTAAACCTCTGTACTAACACTGACAACGGTGTATATCTCAGTATTAACAATGTACAACTAGATAGTAACACTGGCAACATTGCACATCCGAGTGTTAACACAGACAACATTGTACTCCTCAGTATTAACACGGTACACCTCATTAAAATACTCTGGCAGCACTGTACACCTCAGTATATCACTCCAGCACCACTGTACACCTCAGTATTAACACTCCGGCAGCACTGTACACCTCAGTATTAACACTGGCAGCACTGTACACCTCAGTATATCACTCCGGCCGCATTGTACACCTCAATATTAACACTAGCAGTAATGTACACCTCAGTATTAAAACTAACAGCACTGTACATCTCAGTATTACCACTCCGGCAGCACTGTACACATCAGTATTAACACTAGAAATTCTGTACACCTCAGTATTAACACTGGCAACACTGTACATTTCAGTATTAACACTAGAAGTACTATACACCTCAGTATTAACGCTCCTGCAGCACTGTACACCTCAGTGTTAACACTAGAAGTACTGTACACCTCGGTATTAACACTGTCAGAAGTGTACACTTCAGTATTAACACTCCGGCAGCACTGTACACCTCAGTATAAACACTCCAAGGCCACTGTACACCTCAGTATTAACACTCTGGCAGTACTGTACACCTCAGTATTAACACTCCGACAGCATTGTACTCAGTATTAACACTCCGGCAGCATTGTACACCTCAGTATTAACACTCCAGCAAATTCTGTACACCTCAGTGTAACTCTCCGGCAGCACTGTACACCTTAGTATAACACTGGCAGTACTGTACACCTTAGTATAACACTGGCAGTACTGTACAGCTTAGTATAACACTCCGACAGCACTGTATTAACACTGTACACCTCAGTATAACACTCCGACAACACTGTACACCTCAGTATTAACACTCCGGGAATACTGTTCACCTCAGTATAACACTGGCAGCACCGTACACCTCAGTATTAACACTCCAGCAGTACTATACACCTCAGTGTAACACTCCAGCAGCACTCTACAATTCAGTATAACACTGAGACACTCGACACTCGTAAGTGTAAAAAAAAAAAAAAAATTGTACACCTCAACATAGCACTTTTGCAGCACTCTACAGCTTAGTATAACACTGACAGTACTGTACGTCTCAGCATAACACTCCGGTAAGACAGTATCATGGAGCTGTTGGTCCGCATAAGCCTAGTGATCGGGCTTTGTAGAAATTGTATGTCCTCTGATGAAACCCTGTTGTTTTTGCATTGTCAAGCGTCTTGACAGATATTTTGTTGTCTTGCCGATATAACAAGATCATTGGGACTGACAGTCCCTAAGTGGGCGTGTAAAAAGCATGAACGATGATCGTCTCTTTCAAGGCATTTCGCTTGGTGCCGATCTTGATTTCTTCGTGAGCAAGTTGGCAGTCTTCTGTTTCTTGTAGTAGACTGTCAAAGCTATCTTCTGGTTGGTGTTAATAAGGGTCACGTTTTTATCAATTCTGTCTTTCAGGACTTTTCCCTTCGTTCATTACTTACTTTCCTCCGCTTTGGAAGAGTTGAAAAGAACTCCCTGTAGAATTGTTTGATATCAGGGACACATACTGCAATGTTGGCCGTTGTATCAGAGGAAGCATAAGTGCTGGATCAGCCGGGTTGTAGTAGATGTTTGGGCGTGCATGCTGCTGCATGCAAGAGCCTGGCGGATTAAGATATTGCAGAACAAGGCCTTGGGTTGAAGACAACTTTTTTAACGACTATATGTGAGTAGGTAGGTAATCGACTACAGTTAAACAGGTAAATAAAATCGTGTTTTGCAGTCCTGAAATTTTATTTACAAAAATATTTGACTACTATATATGGAGGGTTTGTGGTGGCTGCTTGTTTTCCATTCGTAATGGCAAAACAGTAGAGTTGCAGGTTGGACAGTTTATGCCACCTGGGACGCTGCCAGCTGGCTTAAGGCAGCTTGGAATAATTCAAGTGCAGGCTGGGATATTCCCAAGCAAAGTGGAAACAAGTAGTAATCAGTGAGCAGAGGAGTGTTGAAGGAATATGTGTGACTAGAGGTGATTGATTGATTGATGAAGATTAATTAAGCCACCCAAGAGGCTTGGGTGGCACTCATTCACACATTCACTGACATGAATAGCCCTTGTAAATAGAGGTGGCATTGTCGCATATTATATATCAGATCTGAGGCTTAGGCGTAAGGGCTTGGTGTTGGTTTTGGGCCATAGGTTGGAGGCGGGGGACCGTACGAAGGTGGTGATGGTCCATAGGATGGGGGTGAAGGTCCGTAGGATGGAGATGGATAGGTGGCTTCTCCCTGGTAGGTGACGTCAGCGACGTAGCCGTTGTCGTCAGCATGGAAGGTGACGATCTGAGTGCGTCCGTCGGGGAGAAGCACCCTGTAGGAGCCGGATGTGAGTTTACCGTCGCTCTTCTCGTCGTGCGCGAAGTCGTTACCGGAGTAGTCATCCCTAACGGCGTAGGCGAAGTCGAAGGGCATGCCGGGCTCGTTGTAGGATGGGGTTGGCCCGTAGCGTGGTGGAGCTGGGGGCCCGTATGTTGGGGGTGTAGGGGGCCTGTAGGGTGGTGGTGTAGGAGGCCCGTAGGGTGGTGGTGTCGGGAGCCCGTATGGTGGTGGGGGCTCAGCACAAACCACAGCCACTATGGCTGCCGCTACGAAGATCTGTTCCACAAGCGAGATGAGTTAGTGTTCAATTTTCTAATGTATTCATTATACATGAAAATACAATAGTTTTGTCAATTTACATCATGATTTAATGATAAGTAAGGGTCCTTCAAAGAAGTATAATGTTGCACTGGAGTCCCAGTTGCACCAAAGTAGAATAGACAGTGAAATTTTTTTAAGTTAATGGAAAGAAAATTGCCTTTAAAGCTCAAATCTATGAATAGAAGATTTTTTTTAAATGCCTGAATTCTTGCACGTAAGACTAACAGGAGTGTGTTACACTCTTGTTATACATTATGGTTGGTCATATTAAACGAATGGATGATGGCTTTAGGGCAGAGAGTGTTCAAGTGCAATAGAGAGTTGGTGAAGAGTTAGTTCAGACAGGAGACATTATGAGTGTGAGGCAGTCTGAATTGAGTGTATCAGCTGGGATTGAGTTGTATCAGCTGGGATTGAGTGTATCGGCTGGGATTGAGTGTATCAGCTGGGATTGAGTGTATCATCTGGGATTGAGTGTATCATCTGGAATAGAGGGTGTCAGCTGGGATTGAGTTGTATCAGCTAGGATTGAGTGTATCAGTTGGGATTGAGTGTAACAGCTGGGATTGTGTGTATTAGCTGGGAATGAGTGTATCAGCTGGGATTGAGTTTATCCGCTGGGATTAAATGTATCAGCTGGGATTGAATGCGAGCAGCTCTAGAGAAATAGTGTGACATTAATTTAAGTGCCAGTGATTGATATGTTTTAGGTGGAAAATTACGGAATGTTTGTGTTGCTGGTGTTAGTTGTGTCGTGTGGTGGCCTGTCCTTCTAAAACTGTAGTACTTTTACCAACTATTTCCTGAAACTTAAAAAAATGGGATGTTGGACTACGAAAAAGTTCCCGTTTTGTATTACTTAATTAGCCCAAATGGTATATTAGTAAAATTTAAAACTAACAAAAATAACCTAACCTTTTTAAAGGCGTAATTAAAAAAAATGCTAGGCCTAATATAAATGCTATCTTAGGCATAATATAGAGTATTAATAGTATTTAGAGTATGTATAGTATGAATGCAGAGAACAAAGTGTGAACATTGTTGGTTGCAACAGCTCATTTTTATATGTTCGACCAAATAGTTGCTATAAGTGCTATAATCTTAGGAGGATTTGTTGAGCAGTGTTGAAGAGCTGTGGTTGTGGTGTGGTGTGGCAGAGCTGTGGTAGTGGTGTGGCAGAGCTGCTGTAGTTGTGTAGTGTGGCAGAGCTGTTGTTGTATTGTGACAGAACTGTTATAGTTGTGTGGTGTGGTAGAGCTGTGGTAGTGGTGTGGCATAGATGTGGTAGTTGTGTAGTGTAGCAGAGCTGTTGTAGTGGTGTGGCAGGGCTGTTGTAGTTGTGTGGTGTGGCAGAGCTGTGGTAGTGGCGTCGTGGAGAACGGTCATCAAGTGCTTGGAGTGTTGGAATTTACAAAAATCTTTTCTATTTTTATAATATGTACAAGTGTAAGAGAGGACAAGATGACCCAAGCTTCAGCTAAGGACAAATGAGGACGCAGGCGAAGAACAGCCAAGTAAGGTATTTTTTGCGTGTGTTCAGTTTAAGGACTAACTACCTTAAAACTTCTTTAGTATTTATTTATTTATTAAAACTTCTACGATAAAATACTAACAAGTACACTTTAATTCTCATTATAGTTCGAGATCAATTAAACTCAGTGTGTACATATATTCAATGATGCGGAAAAACACCTCAGTGTAAATGTGTAGGGAACACTCACCTTAGCTGACATGTTGCTTCTTGTGGCGCTGGTCGAGCAATGGTGCCTGACTCTGGATGGCGCCGACTTTTATACTCCCGACCAAGCTGACCTTCGTGACGTCTTCAATATATAATGACAAGTCCAACCTTCATACAATCCATTATGAACACTGACAACGCTGTACACCGCAGTATTAACACTTGTAACGTTGTACATCTCAGTATTACCACTGGCAGAGCAGTACATCTCAGTATTAACCCTGGCAATTCCCTACACTTCAGTATTACACTGGCAACACCGTACACCTCAGTATTAAGATTGGCAACGATATAAATATCTGTATTAACACTGTACACCTCAGCATTAACACTGAAAATGCTGGACACATCAGTATTAACACTGACAATGGGTTACACCTCTGTACTAACACTGGCAACGGTATATATATCAGAATTAACACTGTGCAACTAAATAGTAACACTGGCAACATTGTACATCCGAGTATTAACACTGACAACAATGTACTCCTCAGTATTAACACGGTACACCTCAATAAAACACTCTGGCAGCACTGTACACCTCAGTATATCACTCCAGCACCACTGTACACATCAGTATTAACACTTTGGCAGCGCTGTACACCTCAGTATTAACACTAGAAGTACTGTACACCTCAGAATTAACACTGGCAGCAGTGTACACGTCAGTATTAACACTCTGGCAGAACTGTACAGCTCGGTATTAACACTCCAATGCCACTGTACACCTCAGTATTAACATTCTGGCAGTACTGTACACCTCAGGATTAATACTGGCAGCACTGTACACCTCGGTATTAACACTCCGACTGCATTGTACACCTAAGTATTAACACTCCGGCAGCATTGTACACCTCAGTATTAACACTCCAGCAAATACTGTACACCTCAGTGTAACTCTCCGTCAGCACTGTATACCTTAGTATAACACTGGCAGTACTGTACAGCTCAGTATAACACTCCGACAGCACTGTAATAACACTGTACACCTCGGTATAACACTCCGACGACACTGTACACCTCAGTATTAAACACTGAAAATGCTGAACGCCTCAGTATTACCACTGACAATGGGTTAAACCTCTGTACTAACACTGACAACGGTGTATATATCAGTATTAACAATGTACAACTAGATAGTAACACTGGCAACATTGCACATCCGAGTGTTAACACAGACAACATTGTACTCCTCAGTATTAACACGGTACACCTCATTAAAATACTCTGGCAGCACTGTACCCCTCAGTATATCACTCCAGCACCACTGTACACCTCAGTATTAACACTCCGGCACCACTGTACACCTCAGTATTAACACTCCGGCAGCACTTTACACCTCAGTATATCACTCCGGCCGCATTGTACACCTCAATATTAACACTAGCAGTAATGTACACCTCAGTATTAAAACTAACAGCACTGTACATCTCAGTATTACCACTCCGGCAGCACTGTACACATCAGTATTAACACTCCGGCACCACTGTACACCTCAGTATTAACACTGGCAGCACTGTACACCTCAGTATATCACTCCGGCAGCATTGCACACCTCAATATTAACACTAGCAGTAATGTACACATCAGTATTAACACTGGCAGCATAGTACACCTCAGTATTAAAACTAACAACACTGTACATCTCAGTATTACCACTCCAGCAACACTGTACACATCAGTATTAACACTAGAAATTCTGTACACCTCAGTATTAACACTGGCAACACTGTACATTTCAGTATTAACACTAGAAGTACTGTACATCTCAGTATTAACACTCCTGCAGCACTGTACACCTCAGTGTTGACACTGTCAGAGGAGTACACTTCAGAATTAACACTCCGGCAGCACTGTACACCTCAGTATTAACACTCCAAGGCCACTGTATACCTCAGTATTAACACTCTGGCAGTACTGTACACCTCAGTGTTAACACTCCGACAGCATTGTACTCCTCAGTATTAACACTCCGGCAGCATTGTACACCTCAGTATTAACACTTCAGCAAATACTGTACACCTCAGTGTAACTCTCCGGCAGCACTGTACATCTTAGTATAACACTGGCAGTACTGTACACCTTAGTATAACACTGGCAGTACTGTGCAGCTCAGTATAACACTCCGACAGCACTGTATTAACACTGTACACCTCAGTATAACACTCCGACAACACTGTACACCTCAGTATTAGCACTCTGGGAATACTGTTCACCTCAGTATAACACTGGCAGCACAGTACACCTCAGTGTTAACACTCCAGCAGTACTATACACCTCAGTGTAACACTCCGGCCGTGCTGAACACCTCAGCATAACACTCCAGCAGCACTCTACAACTCAGTATAACACTGTCAGTACTGCACACACATCAGTATAACACTTCGGCAACACTTTACACTTCTTTATTAACACTGTACACATCAGTATAACATTCTGGCAACACTGTACATCTCAATATTAACACTGGCAGCATTGTACTCCTCAACATAGCACTCCTGCAGCACTCTACAGCTTAGTATAACACTGACAGTACTGTACGTCTCAGCATAATACTCCGGTAGGACAGTATCATGGAGCTGTTGGTCAGCATAAGCCTAGTGATCGGGCTTTGTAGAAATTGTATGTTCTCTGATGAAACCCTGTTGTTTATGCATTGTCAAGCGTCTTGACAGATATTTTGTTGTCTTGCCGATATAACAAGATCATTGGGACTGACAGTCCCTAAGTGGGCGTGTAAAAAGCATAAACGATGATCGTCTCTTTCAAGGCCTTTCGCTTGGTGCCGATCTTGATTTCTTCGTGAGCAAGTTGGCAGTCTTCTGTTTCTTATAGTAGACTGTCAAAGCTATCTTCTGGTTGGTGTTAATAAGGGTCACGTTTTTATAAATTCTGTCTTTCAGGACTTTTCCCTTCGTTCATTACTTACTTTCCTCCGCTTTGGAAGAGTTGAAAAGAACTCCCTGTTGAATTGTTTGATATCAGGGACACATACTGCAATGTTGGCCGTTGTATCAGAGGAAGCATAAGTGCTGGATCAGCCGGGTTGTAGTAGATGTTTGGGCGCGCATGCTGCTGCATGCAAGAGCCTGATGGATTAAGATATTGCAGAACAAGGCCTTGGGTTGGAGACAACTTTTTTAACGACTATATGTGAGTAGGTAGGTAATCGACTACAGTTAAACAGGTAAATAAAATCGTGTTGTGCAGTCGTGTAATTTTATTTACAAAAATATTTGACTACTATATATGGAGGGTTTGTGGTGGCTGCTTGTTTTCCATTCGTAATGGCAAAACAGTAGAGTTGCAGGTTGGACAGTTTATGCCACCTGGGACGCTGCCAGCTGGCTTAAGGCAGCTTGGAATAATTCAAGTGCAGGCTGGGATATTCCCAAGCAAAGTGGAAACAAGTAGTAATCAGTGAGCAGAGGAGTGTTGAAGGAATATGTGTGACTAGAGGTGATTGATTGATTGATGAAGATTAATTAAGCCACCCAAGAGGTGGCACTGGCATGAATAGCCCTTGTAAATAGAGGTGGCATTGTCGCATATTATATATCAGATCTGAGGCTTAGGCGTAAGGGCTTGGTGTTGGTTTTGGGCCATAGGTTGGAGGCGGGGGACCGTAGGAAGGTGGTGATGGTCCATAGGATGGGGGTGAAGGTCCGTAGGATGGAGATGGATAGGTGGCGTCTCCCTGGTAGGTGACGTCAGCGACGTAGCCGTTGTCGTCAGCATGGAAGGTGACGATCTGAGTGCGTCCGTCGGGGAGAAGCACCCTGTAGGAGCCGGATGTGAGTTTACCGTCGCTCTTCTCGTCGTGCGCGAAGTCGTTACCGGAGTAGTCATCCCTAACGGCGTAGGCGAAGTCGAAGGGCATGCCGGGCTCGTTGTAGGATGGGGTTGGCCCGTAGCGTGGTGGAGCTGGGGGCCCGTATGGTGGGGGTGTAGGGGGCCTGTAGGGTGGTGGTGTAGGAGGCCCGTAGGGTGGTGGTGTCGGGAGCCTGTATGGTGGTGGGGGCTCAGCACAAACCACAGCCACTATGGCTGCCGCTACGAAGACCTGTTCCGCAAGAGAGATGAGTTAGTGTTCAATTTTCTAATGTATTCAATACACATGAAAATACAATAGTTTTGTCAATTTACATGATTTAATGCAAAGTAATTGTCCTTCAAAGAAGTATAATGTTGCACTGGAGTCCCAGTTGCACAAAAGTAGAACAGGCAGTGAAAAAATCTTAAGTTAATGGAAAGAAAATTGCCTTTAAAGCTCAAATCTATAAATAGAAGAATTTTTTTTAAATGCCTGAATTCTTGCACGTAAGATTAACATGAGTGTGTTACACTGTTGTTATACATTATGGTTGGTCATATTGAACGAATGGATGATGACTTTAGGGCAGAGTGTGTTCAAGTGCAATAGAGGGTTGGTGAAGAGTTAGTTCAGACAGGAGACATTATGAGTGTGAGGCAGTCTGAATTGAGTGTATCAGCTGGGATTGAGTGTATCATCTGGAATAGAGTGTATCAGCTGGGATTGAGTGTATCATCTGGAATGGAGTGTATCAGCTGGGATTGAGTGTATCATCTGGAATAGAGTGTATCAGCTGGGATTGAGTTGTATCAGCTGGGATTGAGTTGTATCAGCTGGGATTGAGTATATCAGCTGGGATTGAGTGTATCAGCTGGGATTGAGTGTATCAGCTGGGATTGAGTGTATCAGCTGGGATTGAGTTTATCAGCTGGGATTGAGTGCGAGCAGCTCAAGAGAAATAGTGTGACATTAATTTAAGTGCCAGTGATTGATATGTTTTAGGTGGGAATTACGGAATGTTTGTGTTGCTGGTGTTGGTTGTGTCGTGTGGTGGCCTGTCCTTCTAAAACTGTAGTACTTTTACCAACTATTTTCTGAAACGTACAAAAAATGGGCTGTTGGACTACCAAAAAGTTTCCGTTTTGTATTACTGAATTAGCCCAAATGGTATATTAGTAAAATTGAAAAGTAACAAAAATAACCTAATCTTTTTATAGGCGTAAATAAAAAATTCCTAGGCCTAATATATGCTATCCTAGGCATAATATAGAGTATGAATAGTATTTAGAGTATGTATAGTATGAATGTAGAGTACAAAGTGTGAACATTGTTGATTGCAATTGCTTATTTTTGTATATTCGATCAAATAGTTACTATAAGTGCTATAATGTTAGGAGGATTTGTTGTGTGTTGTTGCAGAGCTGTGGTAGTGGTGTTGTGTGGCAGAAATGTGATAGTGGTAGTTGAGTGGCAGAGCTGTTGTAGTTGTGTAGTGTGGCAGAGCTTTTGTAGTGGCGTGACAGAACTGTGATAGTTGTGTGGTGTGGTAGAGCTGTGATAGTTGTGTGGTGTGGCAGAGCTGTGATAGTGGTGTGGTTTGGTGTGGCAGAGCTTTGGTAATGGTGTGGTGTGGCAGAGCTGTGGTAATGGTGTGGTGTGGCAGAGCTGTGGTAATGATGTGGTGTGGCAGAGCTGTGGTAATGGTGTGGTGTGGCAGAGCTGGGATAGTTGTGTGGCGTGCCAGAGCTGTGGTAATGGTGTGGTGTGGCAGAGCTGTGGTAATGGTGTGGTGTGGCAGAGCTGTGGTAATGGTGTGGTGTGGCAGAGCTGTGATAGTGGTGTGGTTTGGTGTGGCAGAGCTTTGGTAATGGTGTGGTGTGGCAGAGCTGTGGTAATGGTGTGGTGTGGCAGAGCTGTGGTAATGATGTGGTGTGGCAGAGCTGTGGTAATGGTGTGGTGTGGCAGAGCTGTGGTAATGGTATGGTGTGGCAGAGCTGTGGTAGTTGTGTGATGTGGCAGAGCTGTGGTAATGGTGTGGTGTGGCAGAGCTGTGGTAATTGTGTGGTGTGGCAGAGCTGTGGTAATGGTGTGGTGTGGCAGAGCTGTGGTAATGGTGTGGTGTGGCAGAGCTGTGGTAATGGTGTGGTGTGGCAGAGCTGTGGTAGTGGCGTCGTGGAGAACGGTCATCAAGTGCTTGGAGTGTTGGAATTTACAAACAAAGATCTTTTCCATTGTTATAATATGTACAAGTGTAAGGTGAGGACAAGATGACCCAAGCTTAAGCTAAGGACAAATGAGGACGCAGGCGAAGAACAGCCAAGTAAGGTATAAGTTTAAGGACTACCTACCTTAAAACTTCTTTAGTACTTATTTATTTCTTAAAACTTCCACGATAAATTACTGACAAGTACACTTTAATTCTCATTATAGTTCGAGATCAATTAAACTCACTGTGTACATATACATAATGATGCGGAAAAAACACCTCAGTGTAAATGTGTAGAGAACACTCACCTTAGCTGACATGTTGCTTCTTGTGGCGCTGGTCGAGCAATGGTGCCTGACTCTGGATGGCGCCGCCTTTTATACTCTCGACCAAGTTGACCTTCGTGACGTCATCAATATATAATGACAAGTCCCACCTACATACAATCCATTATGAACACTGACATACGCTGTACACCTCAGTATTAACACTTGTAACGTTGTACAACTCAGTATTAACGCTGGCAGAGTAGTACATCTCAGTATTAACACTGGCAACGATGCACACCTCAGCATTAACATTGGGAAAGTGGTGGTGTAGGCGAAGTCGAAGGGCATGCCGGGCTCATCATTAATACATCATAATATTAACACTGGCACACAGTACAGCAATACTAGTACAGCAGTATTTACTGCTTTACACTTAAGTATAACACTGGTAACACTATACACATCAGAATTAAGACTGGCAACAATGTAAATTTGTATTAACACTGTACACCTTAGTATTAACACTGATAACGCTGTGCACTTCAGTATTAACACTGACAACACTGTAGACCTCAGTATTAACACATGCAACGCTGTATATTTCAGTATTAACACTTTACACCTCAATAGTGACACTGGCAACATTGTACATCCCAGTATTAACACTGGCAACATTGTACACCTCAGTATTAACACAGTACACCTCATTAAAACACTTTGGCAACACTGTACACCTCAGTATATCACTCCAGAAGCATTGTAAACCTCAGTATTAACACTCCGGCAGCACTGTACACCTCAGTATTAACACTGGCAGTACTGTACATCTCAGTATAACACTCCGGCAGTACTGTACACCTCAGTATGTCACTCCACCAGCACTGTACACCTCAGTATTAACACCGGCAGAACTGTACACCTCAGTATTAACACTGTACACGTCATTATTAACAGTGGCACCACTGTACAACTCAGTATTAACACCGTACACCTCCGTATTAGCAATGAACACCTCAGTATTGACATTGATAACACTGTACAACTCAGTATTGACATTGATAACACTGTACAACTCAGTATTAACAGTGTCCCAGGCAGGACGAGACGTATGGACAAGTCTCCTTACACCCGTTGCGCCTGTTCTCCCAGCAGTGATTAGGAACCTGGGTGTTAGTCGACTGTTGTGGGTGGCATCCTGGGGAATGGTCACATGCTGCGTATATCCCAGGTATTCTTGAATTTCCCACAAACGCCGCAAGGCACAGCACGAGGAAAATAGCCGGAAGGTTACACGTGAAATACGGCGCAAGGCAAAGACACTAGAGCCTCAAGGCCACAGCAACGAGTGGCCCGGAAGGTCCCACAGTCCAAAAAAGGGTTCACACCCAAACAAAGTAACTACTGTACGCATCATTATTAACACCGTAAACCAACACCGTAAACAAGGTGGCAACACGGTAAACCTCAGAATTAACACTATACACCTCAATATTAATACTAACAACACTGTACACCTCAGCATAACACTGTAGCAACACTGTACACCTCAGTATAGCACTACAGCAACACTGTACACTTCAATATTAACACTGGCACCACTGTACACCTCAATATAACACTACAGTAGCATTGTACACCTCAATATTAACCCTGGCACCACTGTACACCTCAGTATAACTCTACAACAACACTACACTTATGTATAACATTATAGCAACACTGTACACCTCAATGTTATCACTGGCATCACTGTACACCTCAGTATAACACTACATCAACACTGTACACCTCAACGTTAGCACTGGTATCACTGTACACCTCAGTATAACACTACATCAACAACATACACCTCGGAATTAACACTGGCAACACTGTACACCTCAGTAGAACACTATAGCAACTATGTACATATCAGTATTAACGCTGGCAACACTCTACACCTCAGCATAACACTGTAGCAACACTACACCTCAGTATAACACTACAGCAACACTGTACACCTCAGTATTAACACTGGCAACACTGTACACCTCCTCATAACACTGGAGCAACACTATACGCCTCAGTATTAACACTACAGCAACACTGTACACCTCAGCATTAACACTGGCAACACTGTACATCTCAGTATTAGCACTGGCAACATTGTATATCTCGGTATAACACTACAACAACACTGTACATCTCAGTATTAACACTGGCAACACTGTACACCTCATTATAACACTACAGCAACACTGTACACTTCAGTATTAACACTGGCAACACTGTACACCTCATTATAACACTACAGCAATACTGTACACCTCAGTATTAACACTGGCAACACTGTATATCTCAGTATAACACTACAACAACACTGTACACCTCAGTATTAACACTGGCAACATTGTATATCTCAGTATAACACTACAACAACACTGTACACCTCAATATTAACACTGGCAACACTGTATATCTCAGTATAACACTACAACAACACTGTACAAATTAGTATTAACACGGCAATACTGTACACATTAGTATTAACATGGCAATACTGTACACCTCAGTATAACATTACAACAACACTGTACACCTCAGTATAACATTACAACAACACTGTACACCTCAGTATATCATTACAACAACACTGTACACCTCAGTATAACATTACAACAATACTGTACACCTCAGTATAACACTACAACAACACTGTACACCTCAGTATAACATTACAACAACACTGTACACCTCAGTATAACATTACAACAACACTGTACACCTCAGTATAACATTACAACAACACTGTACACCTCAGCTGTCTACCGTAAGTTGTGAATTATGTCGCTTATTTTAGTAAAGATTTATAATGAAATGCTTTAGAAACACTATAGTTCTGAATTTCTTTCAGGCTCTTGGCGTAAAGAAAATGATACAATGTTGGCTAATGAAAGTGATGTTATGAAAGTGATACTATGAACGTGATGTTATGAAAGTGATGCTATCAAAGTGATGTGAAAGTGATGCTATGAACAGGATTTTGTGAAAGTGATGTTGTGAAAATGATTCTATGAAAGTAATGTGAAAGTGATGTTGTGAAAGTGATGCTTTGAACGTGGTATGGTGCTATGAAGTTATGTTATGAGTGATGATGGGAAAGTGATGCCATGAGTGATGATGTAAAAATGATGCTATGAACGTGGTGCTATGAAAGTGATGCCATGAGATCAATGTGAAAGTTATTCTATGAAAGTGATGCTGTATACTAGTATGTGTGCGTGATAGAGACGTAATATGTCATGTATTCGTGAGTCTGTATTTCGTGCCTGAAAATATCAATTAATTAAGATGCAACTTTGTGTTAATAACTTGGCAGTAAAGAAGACTGGTGTGAGCTGGCCAAGACGTGAAGGCTGGTGCTGCCAATGGCCACGTTGGCTCAATACTGAGGCAAAGTCTGCCTCAACCAAGTCTTTTACACTTATTTCCTCCTTATCAGAGTCTGACGCTGGCCCAGTCCATTGAATAAAAACACTAGTATAATAGACAAAACCCAAGATGTAAGAAGATTACAAATTCTTGAAGCAATCCACATAAAAGTAGAACAACCCACCATAAATACTCAAATTACGGAACTATTAACTCTACCCACCATGAGAGTAAGAGCAAGACCAGAACGTCAAGATGCCAACATAGAAGACACAGCTCGATAAACAGAGCTTGATTAGTCTTTGTATGTACCCGATTTAACCTTCTGATCCTTAGCTTCTTTTTTTCTCCTTCATGTCTTACCAATGTATACTCTTTGTTTACACCTGACCCCATTGTTCGATCCATTTGTATTCACCTGACCCACTATTAGTATAAAATATAATGCTCTGTACTGTAACACCACTTGAGAATGAACCATGTAGATTCGAAACGTCGTGCGATTTTATAATAAGTGTAATACATTCTATAGTTACTCAATTATTTTCTTCACCTTGAAAACGAACATGAATTTTGCTGAACTCCTCTTCCAGCTGAACCCTGATGCCAGAGTGTTAATAAGAGGGATAGAAGCCCTAAATCAGAAAATAGTGAATACAAAATATGCTGTCATATTCAATGAGACATGCATATATATATATATATATATATATATATATATATATATATATATATATATATATATATATATATATATATATATAATATGTCGTACCTAGTAGCCAGAACTCACTTCTCAGCCTACTATTCAAGGCCCGATTTGCCTAATAAGCCAAGTTTTCCTGAATTAATATATTTACTATAATTTTTTTCTTATGAAATGATAAAGCAACCCTTTTCTCTATGTATGAGGTCAATTTTTTTTTATTGGAGTTAAAATTAACGTAGATATATGACCGAACCTAACCAACCCTACCTAACCTAACCTATATTTATAGGTAAGGTTAGGTTAGGTAGCCAAAAAAAGCTAGGTTAGGTTAGGTTAGGTAGGTTAGGTAGACGAAAAAACATTAATTCATGAAAACTTGGCTTATTAGGCAAATCGGGCCTTGAATAGTAGGCTGAGAAGGGCGTTCTGGCTATTAGGTACGACATATATATATATATATATATATATATATATATATATATATATATATATATATATATATATATATATATATATATGTCGTATCTAGTAGCCAGAACGCACTTCTCAGCCTACTATGCAAGGCCCGATTTGCCTAATAAGCCAAGTTTTACTGAATATATTTTCTCTAGTTTTTTTTTCTTATGAAATGATAAAGCTACCCATTTCATTATGTATGAGGTCAATTTTTTTTATTGGAGTTAAAATTAACGTAGATATATGACCGAACCTAACCAACCCTGCCTAACCTAACCTAACCTATCTTTATAGGTTAGGTAGCCGAAAAAGTTAGGTTAGGTAGTCGAAAAAACATTAATTCATGAAAACTTGGCTTATTAGGCAAATCGGGCCTTGCATAGTTTTCATGAATTAATTGTTTTTCGACTACCTAACCTACCTAACCTAACCTAACCTAACTTTTTCGGCTACCTAACCAAACCTAACCTATAAAGATAGGTTAGGTTAGGTTAGGTAGGGTTGGTTAGGTTCGGTCATATATCTACGTTAATTTTAACTCCAATAAAAAAAAATTGACCTCATACATAATGAAATGGGTTGCTTTATCATTTCATAAGAAAAAAATTAGAAAAAATATATTAATTCAGGAAAACTTGGCTTATTAGGTAAATCGGGCCTTGAATAGTAGGCCAAAAAGTGAGTTCTGGCTACTAGGTACGACATATATATATATATATATATAATATAATATATAAATGATTGCTAAACGTATGTAGTCCTATGAATAAATCCACAAGGGCCCTGATGAGGGTTCGAACTTACGTCCGGGATGATCCCAGACGCGTCCTACATTAGTTGTCTGCTTTTAATTTTTGTCAGCATTTAACGTAATTTTCAAGAAAAATGCATATGTGCATGTTTTGCAAATATGCACTTTTCTAACAGTGTTTACAGTGGGAGAAGTGCGTCATGTGGCTGTGTACATATACTTTATCGAAGTATACACACTTAACCAGTCCTCACCGAGTTGTATTTGTCCAGAAAAGTATACATTTCCTGTGTTTATTTTTTTTAATATTTCGTCTTAAATAAATTCAGAATGTTTGCAAGTATCGTTCATTCTGTCCACATATCCCTTCCAAGTGCTGAATAGTCAAAGTCTTACAGGCTTAGTATTCTCTCCTCATGGTTATCATACCTCACTCTTGCATTATAATTGTTGTGTTTGAAGTTGGTTTGAAATGATTCAACTATTTCTCCATGTTTCTTCCATCAAAATGTAAATAGTGTGCATAGTAAGCTATTGCAAGTGCATGGAAACATATCATAAGCTTTTGGAAGCTTGTATTTCCTTGATATTCAGTATAGTAAACAATAGTCACGGTTTTCGAAGTTACTCGAGATGTGTCTGGTAGCAAAACACTTAATATTATGGTAATAAAGTGTTTTATTTAATATCTCAAGGTGCCTTTATCATTTTTTTTATTAATACATGAGGTACATCTGCATTAGTGCAGCTACCCTAGACTATATGAAGTGGAGTACAGTGTGTCAAAAAAGCTAACTAGGTGATGCTATAAAATCCCCATCACACAGGATGGTTAGTCATACAGAGGCATGTGATGGGCAGTCTGCACTGGCAGACTCCAGAAGCATTTTGAGGATATCATCAACACAAGATTGAATAAGGTAACAGTGGTAATAAAAGTCCCCATCTCGCAGGATAGTTAGTCATACAGAGCCATATGTTTAGTAGCCTGCACTGGCAAATTTTGGGTACACTGTGAGGATATCTTCAAGAATACGAGAATGAATAAAGTAATTGCAAAGCTCCAGGTACCTCATGCCAACTGGTCTGAAAGGTCTAATAACTGGGCATTTGGTGATGTAGTGCGGGAGATCGTGCCGTAGTTCCTTCTCACAGAGTTTGCAACTGGAGTGCTCAGGATTGGGAGACCCGTCACCTGCAGCCACCTGCCACAGGTAACGGAAACCCAACCTGATCCTGGTAACCACTGTGTCGCACAGTCTAGTGGACGTTTTGTGCTGCCCATAGATATAGCTTTCAGATCTGAACAGATCATAGCTTTTTATACTAGTACTTTCAGGTCGTTGGGAATCATTAATTTCTTTCCTATCAGATCTGAGTGTTTGGACCAATACAGTTTTGACAGCAGAGATGGGGATACCTAGATCTAATTCAATTTCATCCTTGTTACACGCTAATTTGGCTGCAATGTCTGTCTCATTATGATGGGTTATATTTATGTGTGAAGGTATCCATACAAAGGAGATTCGAGACCCTTTACTCTGTGCAGCAATTAGGTCATTTATAATTGGGAGTATGAGGTTCTTGCTGTCGATCTTCCAAGAGAAGTTTTCGATTGCTTGAAGAGCAGACTTTGAATCACAAAATATTATTCCTCCTCCAATGTTTTTTAATGTACTGGTAGCTAGTTGTAATGCTGCTAGTTCTGCTTGTGTGGAGGTCAGCCAGTTGTTTAACCTGACACTGACAGTCTTTGTGCAAATATTATTTCTATAAAACCTACATGCTGCTGCAGTCCGTCCAGTAGAGGATTGGACTGAGCCGTCGGTGTAGACACGGTGCTCGTGAGATCTTAAATTCTCGATGGAGGAGGCAATTGTTTCAAGTGTGACAGCTTTGGGAAGAGCAAGATTCTCATTATCTTTTTTGGTGACAGGTGTGTATGATACTTGAATAATGGGGTACAGATAGAGAGGAATATCAGAGACAGGTAGATTGCACTTAAAAGGAATGTTAAGTTTAATGAGATTGTAGGCATTGTTGCTCAGCCATTTATCATAAAAGGAGTGAGTTGGCATGTCGGCACCAGTCAATAGTGTGTTAACAGCACTAAATAATTTGTCTCTGAGCAATGCAGGAGATGTAGGGTCTCTCATGACTTTAAGGCAAAAGGTAGTATTGACTTGCATGATTCTCTCTAGTATGGTTGGAAGCTTCAGTTCTTCCCGCATTTTGATGATTCTTGTGCATCTTGGGGCACCAAGAATTATCCTCATGGCTTCATTCTGTACTACTTCAAGTTTGTCCAACACAGAGGAGGGGAAATTAATTAAGTGCAGAGCATTATAATCAACGAGAGATCTAACAAACATCATATAGAATAGTCTAGCATATTTAATGTTAATACCAATATTCTTACCAGTAAGTGTTTTCAATGGTTTTAGTCTTTCTTTTAACCTACGGTGTAGATCATTTACAATGTCACTGTTAATACCAACTCCAAGGTATTTGTGCTGCCTATACGTTTCAATGTTCTGGTTGTTGACCTTGAAAGTTATAGGGACATGAGTTTTCTCTTGGGGATGGAGAACTCTGGATTTAGTTATAGAGATAACAAGACCACATTCAATGCTTTTAGCAGCGAGTGAATCAAGTAGAGCTTGCAGTCTAGTTTGGGAATTTGCAACAATGCATATGTCATCGGCATAACAAATGACGGCTTCGTCAGGTAGTGTGGGAATATCAATTGTTAATTTGTGCATCAGAACATTGAACAGTGTAGGACTTAGCACTCCACCCTGGGGTGTACCCAACTCAAAGGGTGCACAAAGTTTACTTTTGACCCCCTTGAAAAGGACTGAGGCGGTTCGGTTACTCAGGTAACCCCTGAGCCATGACAAAATTCTTCCCTTAACTCCAAAAGAGGCTAGCTGTTCTAGGATGATTTCTCTGTTTGCTGTACCAAAAGCAGTTTGGAGATCAATAAATGCCTTTATCATTGCGCTGTATTAAGGAGATCCGTCAGTTAAAGACTTCTTTCATTGTCGTATGCCTTTATTTACAAAACTATTTTATTACCATTCCAAGTCTTTGTGGCGGCCACCTGTGGACCGTATGCTGTGGCAAGGTAATAGGTCGTTGGGGACATTTACTGCTTGGGGGCGGGATCGTTGGGACATCTTGGGACACTGCCAGGCTGGCCTGACGAAGCTTGGAATAAGGTGGGATATGTTCAGTAAAGGTTGGACATAAATAAGTGACAGGTGGAGACCAGGTGAGTGTTGACAATGTAACGTTTGTATGGATGTAGATATGGCAATATTGATCAGTGACAATCCTGCTGTGGTCATTGAGACTTAGGCGTATGTTGGTGGTGGGGGGCCGTATGAAGGGGGTGCTGGACCGTAGGATGGGGGCGCGGGAGGTGGATAGGTGGCCTCTCCCTGGTAGGTGACGTCGGCGACGTATCCGTTTTCATCGGCTTGGAAGTTTACGATCTGAGTGCGTCCATCAGGAAGAAGCACACTGTAGGAGCCGGATGTGAGTTTACCGTCGCTCTTTTCGTCGTGCGCGAAGTTGTTACCGGAGTAGTCGTCCCTAACGGCGTAGGCGAAGTCGAAGGGCATGCCGGGCTCGTTGTAGGATGGGGTTGGCCCATAGGCTGGGGGTGGAGGGGGTCCGTATGATGGCGGGCTTTCTGCACGAGGGGCGGCGCACACTACACCCACGAGGGCGGCCACAATGAAGATCTACAATGATAGCATTAATAATTTATTAACATCACATATTGCTTAAGTTGAGTGGGAGAGTGTACATGGGAAGTACACGTGAGTGGAGTACAAGTACATCTGTACTGGCATAATAAGAAGTCTTCTTGACGAGAGAAAATGTGGCGGTAGGAGTAATACACAAAACTGGTACATGTTTAACATTAAAAGTTATATGTTATGTGCAGTATACTTGAGATTTATTGATAAAGTTGGACATGATTTTACATATAGCAATTGAAAAGACAAACAATCACACCCTTACACTACAATTTGTTCATTTACACCTTTGATACAGATTATGGGTAATAATTTGTGTTCGCTTCACGCTAACATTATCTGGAACTGGTCAGTGATGAATGTGTTAATGTTAAGCGTGTCGAACAGTCACTGACTGACTAGTGTGAAATGGACAAAATGTACAGACAGCACTGGTGCTGGGACAGCACTAGAGTGTATAGTTTAGCCTAACCGAACGTGAGGATCCGTTCCTAAGCCCCCCTGTGACTAACCCTTCCACCATACAATGGGGATATGGGGTCCATAATAAACTATAATGATATATGTGAACGGATTAAGTCATAATCTGTTCTTTTAATATTGTAAAGAACATAAGAACAAAGGGAACCACAGAAGGTATATTGGCTCTTACTAGGCAGTTTCTAAGTATACTCAACCAAACTAATTTATGAATACGTTTATCTTTCGCTTGACCTCCAGCGAACCCAAGTGTATTGTTACCCGGTAATGTTTATACCAGAATGCTCCGTTAGTGCATTTATACTTGAAAATGTTATCCTTCGAAATGTAAAAAATACCATAGATACACCCAAGTGGCGGAGGGTATTGGGAAAAACACCAGTGTTGATGATGAATATACCTATTCACGTACCTGCTGCTGGTAAACTTCATTAGATAAAGACCAGGAGCCATGAGAGAGGAAGGACAGAGCTTACAATACTCACCTTGGCAGACATCTTGTTGCTTGTCGCGGCGCT